CTTGCTCCCGGTACAGCTCCTCTCTCAGCCTGCTGCTGTAAATAACAACTGTGTGCATTATGTGTGTCTGCTGGGTTCTGGTCTGTACAGCACTCGGGGCTTTATTGCTGACTCCTGTGCTGCTGCTTTGATTGAGGAGCACCCTCAGGAACACAGTGTATTCTGCCAAACTAAAGTTTATAACCATTTATACTATAAATTGACCTATATGAGCTTTCCCTGAACACAATGAATGAACGAAAAATTATGGACTGGCTTTGGCTTTAGGACACAATCTACTGTAGCACACAGTGAATTCAAATAAAATGAAGGTTGATGCAGGCTGCCAGTGTTCTCAGGGATGGTCTCAAGTGTTGTAATGTATCACAGACAATATAACCATTAATCGTTTTCATTTTTAGAGCAATTATGTGGAACTGAAAATCCTTTTTATTAATGACACAGATTGCCATTAAGTGAACTGCAGTTAGCATATGTAGCTCACACTCCCATTGACCGAGCATCCTGGGTATTGACCAAAACAGTGAACATGGCCATGCCAGGAGTGAACACAGCCTCTGAGACCGATGGAGGCCTGTTTGACAACAGTGACTACAGTACCGTAAATGATTTACAGCGTCTCTGTCCAGGACTCCAGGGACCACAAAGACACGGCGGGTTCAGGCCGTGATAGGGGAGGCGTAAAGCGGGAGAGGAATGAGAGGGACATTGGCCACTTCCAGAGGCCTGAGCAGGGGTTACAGAGAAACTCTTCAAAATGGACTCCACTGGTCTCGGAGGATGTGTTCGATCCCGGTCTGGTTGTGTTCACTGGGAGGCTGTTGAGCCCAGTTCTGGAACCCTGATCCCTGCCAGCATTCCTGACTATGTCCCCCCTACCCTGGACCTGAACACCTCCTCTTCCCTATGGTCTAAAGCTCGCTTTGCTAGAAGTGCTCTGAGCTCCCAGTCCAGGCAAAATGAGCTAATAGGACCACTAGCATTAGCTGCACGACTAACTGAGTTAACCAGCTAATGGCAGCTACAGGTAGCAACAGTTAGCACTCACTTTAGCAACAAGTAAAGCTATCAGTTGTTCAGAGGGAAACACAGAATATTTTCTTAATACTTTCCATAAAATATGATCCAATTTCACCAAAGTCAGTGAATAAAGTTGTAAAGCAGTGTTTTTGTACAGTAATCAGAGTCCCCCAGAAACACAGCGCTCCAGCAGCGTCTCTCCTGATTCTTTTCTTAATTGTGGTCGGATGAAGCGAGGCACTTTTATAAACGTCACATCCTTTGGAATTTCCCGTGCTTCACACATTACCTTTAAAAAAAATCTAAGGATCTAAGAACCTTTTCATTGGTTCATTTATTCATTCTAACCCTGGCTCTTTGAGTGCACTAGTCACTTATTCATTGATTTTTATTTTTATTAATAGTTAATCAATTAAATCACTACTCCAGCTTACTTTACTCTTACTATTCTCTGTTTTATATAACTGTAACTGTTTTTGTTTGTTTGTTTTGTTTTGTATATTTTTAATTATGGTCTCTGGTACTTCTCTTGTTTTTCACCTTTATTAGACAAAATGAATTATTAATTAGTAAGAAAAGAGATCTAATATATTATTATACGTATTATTAATGATAATAATTAAAGTGTACTTCTGTCTGTCCATTAAGATGATGTGTAAAAGCTCGCACTCTCAGAGATGTTCCTGCATCATTAATGATCATGCAGAATTTTAATATGGACTCACAGAGTGTGTATCAAAGAGCATTAGCGTCTGTGTCCACTGGGCATCTCCTTCAAAACAAATGCTAAACAGATGCTGAGGGGAACTGCTGTGCGTGACTCTTGTTGTTGCTAAGCAACTAGTAAAAATCTATTTGAAATATGGCACTCTTCGGCTAAAAGTTGTCGTATTTTCAACCTTGAGTGCTACAAACATGCTAATCACTCAGCACTGCCGGGATGGTGCAACAGGGTTCAGAACAGGAACTACTGAGAAATGGATGCCGGTGCTGTGGAAAGGGCTTCCCTGTGGACACATTGCCTCAGAGATGTATTATAATTTATAAACGGCTGTTAGAACAGGAAACCAACGTTTTAAAATGATACCATGTTTTAAACACCCTCTTATATACTAATATTCTTCACTTCTGCACTGACTACAAGTAGACAGATGTACCCATTCTTTTGGCACCGGGTGTTTTCTTACCTATCTGTCACAGCAGTGTGATTTAGGGTTGTTTCAATCCCAAAATTCACAGTTTTTATGTGCCTGTAACCTATCCATGAAAGCATAGTAAAGTAAACTGAGAGTAAACTGAAGGTTCAGCCTCTCTGACCAAACGTTAGTTAAAAATCTTTACTATCTGCAATGAAAGTCAAACCACAGTCAGGGCAGATGGCACAGTTTAGTTTTTTCCTCATGATATGACCTAATGGTGTGGGGATCTTGGAGAATCTAATGATTCACTCACTCCATATTGGTGTCATGATCTGAGTAAATCTTGATTCAATAAACTTTAGTGCACTGTGTTCCAAACGATTGACTCTGGTTTAATTGCAGTATGAAACATATAACTGTCAGTTAAGCTATGGTTTGGATGGAGGTAACTATCTAACTACTGGAAAAGAGCAGAGAAAAGTGTGTGAGGTTGGAGAACACTGAGTGTGCTGACAGTGAAAACCATCGTTATCTACAACTCTGTTCAAGATCTGAGATATGAAACAGATAATGGATCCAGTTATTTTCTTCCCGACCGGAGATGCCTGAGGTTTGGTGAAGTACTGCAAGTGTGTTTTGGCTGGTTGGCTCATTTGCTGGTGCTGGTCTCCCAGTGATGGCGTATCAATTATTCCAAACAACTTAATCTTTGTCTTGCAAAGCTAATTATTAAGCTATAAATTCAAAAATGTGTCCCAACATTTGCTTTCCTTGAAGATGACCTACAAGATAACTGTAGCTTGTGCTCTGTACACCATTGAGGAGGATCTATTGTCAGAAATGGAATATAAACGTTGTGTTTTTGTTACCTTAGAATGAGACATTTTTATATACAGATGGATGGATCTTTTTCTAGTACTTAGTAGTAGTACTTTAGTAAAAGGAGAATGATGTGTACAAAGATGTGTTCACCCTGGATGGCACAAGGTATCTCCACATCCAAACCCTCGGAAAGATGTTTAAAGATTAAGGACTGCTGCGATGGAACTATCTGCTCTTCCATCTAATCTCAATACCCACTTATTCCTGGTTGGGGCTTAAATCTGTCCCAGCATGCACTGGGAGAACAGCAGAGATGCCTCCCGGGCAAGTCGCTGGTGGATATCAGAGCTGCTTCAACTGTGTTTGCCAAACTCTATGTTGTCATATTTCCAAGCTGAGTTTCCCAAAAACAGCTCCGCCTCCACTGCAGCCAGAGTTATATAATGGTTCTAATGCATAGGGGCCTCCTGTATGTCAGAGATATCCAACATAGAGGCAGACAGACGGAGACTGTAAGTGTATCACCAGGTGGTTCTTCTTCAGCCGGCTTCCAAACCTCTGCCTGTGTCTGTGTGTGCAAGTATTTATGAATGCATGTATGCAGGTGTCTGTGTGTGCGTATGCACATGTGAATACATGTGAATACCAATATAATCATATCCCATGCATACAGCATAGCCACATGTAATGTACTCTATGTATGTAGTGTGTGTGAGTGTAGTTTTTGGTATAGACATTACATACTTGCAATCTCAGAGTGGGTGTGCATGTGTGTGTGTGTGTGTGTGTGTGTGTGTGTGTGGGTGTGTTCATAGTGCACAGGAAATTTCTGCTTATCTCGCTGTCCTGCCAAGAACTCAGTGGACATTTAACTCCACTGCCTGCTGCTGAAGGCCTGTAGGGTAAATTAGAGCGCTAATAATAGAACAAGCTATAGGGGGAAGTGGTGTCTTTGTGTGTGTGTGTGTGTGTGTGTGTGTGTGTGTGTGTGTGTGTGTGTGTGTGCACACTCACCTGTTTATGCAGTTGCTGTCCTGTCCAAGTTGAATCACCAAACCGAAACCGAAAACATGGCTGCATTTAAAGCTGCTGAACACTCAGTATTTTAGGGTTCATTAGACAGTGATCGTGTTTACATGTGCATGAAAAATTTTATTAAAACAACTACAAGGCTGCATCTAATAATCATTTTCATTATCAATTTTTTTTGTTTATTTTTTTAGTTGACAAAGGCACATTGCATGTTCCCAGAGCTCAAGTTGATCGGTCCACTGAAGTCACTGTTTATGGTCTCATTTATGCTTTAAGTTGATGTGCAGTGGAAGCCAGGACAAGAATGAGGAGAAAGAGAGCCAAAATTTTGATTATGGCTTTTTGTGAAGCAGTGGCTCTTGTAGTGTGCGGATGGAGTCGGCACAAACACGGACCAGTTGCGATACAACCCCTCAAGGTCTAACACCTCAATGTTCCTCCACTACCTCGCTCACAGCTGAGCGACTCCCGCCAGCGCAGAATGGTGACGTAAAAGTCGCCTTAATTCTAACAATGAAGTCACATTGCAGAAAATCAGACCTGTACCTGTCCTCTGTGTCCCAACCCTTCCTCTGTCTGAAAATAGTTCAGCTCAAAGCAAGAAGTCCAAGGGTTTAATTCCTGCCTTCTTTGTGTATTCTCACTAAATGTCCAAAACACTTGCAGAGCAGGTGGGCTGTGCACTCTAAATGTGTTGTCTGTGATAGACTGTGATCTGTTCACACTGTTTCTCTGCGTCCTGGCCAATACATGCTGGCAGCTCTCTCTGTGAGGGTAAATAGGAATAATCTGGTAAAACAATGAACACATTCACCTTAACTGTATTACACTGTGAGTCGTTAGAGTGCCAGTAACGCTGCAGAAAAGGCCCTTAGGTGCCAGAGAACAACGGCTTACTGATCCTCTTCAGGAGCTGGACAATATGAATCTAATATCTCTCTCTCTCTCTCTCTCTCTCTCTCTCTCTCTCTCTCTCTCTCCCATCAGAAACACAAAGTGGATCTGTTCTACAAGGTTCGTCACGTGATGATGGAGCTGATCGACCTGAGAAGGCAGCTCTTGTCTGGTCACCTGACGCAGGACCAGAGCCGAGACGTCAAGAGACACATCACCGTCAGACTGGACTGGGGCAACGAGTGAGAATACAAACACACACACACACACACACACACACACACAGAGAGAGAGAGAGAGAGAGACGGGCATGAACCGGGACATCAGGATAAATAAACAATAAATACTAACAATGAAAGAGATCATTGTGCAAATGATCTGCACTGGGGCAAATACACTTAGACAATTAAAATTAAAAGAATAAAAATACCCATCACTAATACATAATAAAAAACACCAATAATAAAGTAACAGGATGTAACATGATGGAAATTAAACGGTTTACTAAAATAGGCTTTTTTGAAAATACATGTTTTGAGAAGATGATTCTAATAAAGCAGCCTTCTTGAATCCGCTCTTTATAAAAGTATATAATGCTTTACCTCATACTGTATTAGTATGTTGCTTTTCAGAACAGATTATGATGGGTTTGATTCCAAAAACCGTAAATCACTTTAGGATAAAGCACTTTTGTATATTGTAAATAGTTTTATTGTAAAAAGAAGATCTCCAAAGAATCAGTTAGTTAGAGTAAAAGTGAATAAAACACACTTAAGATAATCATATGAACATAATTACAATCAAAATGCATCAAAGATCAATGTAGCATTCCGCCTCCCACAAGGTTTATAAGCTAATTACCTGCAGAGATATATGTGCAGTGTTACCAAATAATCACGCTAATACCTGGTTTGTAATTATGAATATCAGCACACTCAACTTTTACACAGAAATAAATGGAGTTAATGTAGGTGAATGGCAGAGAGGAAACACACCACCGTCTTAATATCAAGTAACTGAACTAAACCTCACATCAGCGGCTCGTAACACGGCTGCTCCGGTGAACTTACTACAGACATGAGCTTTCTAACATATTGTTGTACTGAAGAATAACACAAACATCATCCACATGGATGTGTTGATGTTTGAAGATGATGTGAACTCTAAATCAGTGCTTCAGACAGCAGAGCAGCGTATTCCCCCGACACCCACTCAGGGCAAATCAAAGAAAGATTGGAGGCAGGTGGATGAGGCCATACACCAGTGGTTGAAGACTCATGGGAGCTTGTCAAAAGGCTGATGGAAAACAAATGAAAAGGAAAGAAATATCCGTTGACTTGGGATTGAGTTATTAATACTGGAGAAATGAAACGCGGGCGGCCCAGGACTGTAACACGGGTTATTTAAAGCTCCAGTCCGCTTCCTGTGGAGAAGAGACACAGACTGTGAGGGGATGTGTGTGTGCTCATAAGACCGCGGTGGATGATCATTATTTGCATTATTATTAGTAATAGTAGCAGTAATAGTACTGTAGTATTTATGGGGTGTTTTTCAGAACAGGAGTCCTACACTAGGAGAAATATTAGGTATTCCTTTTGCTGCTGTAATTATTAAAGGATTAGTTCAGATTTTTCTGCACAAGTTGCAGTAACATGCTGGTTGTGATATAATGCATGTGTACAAGCTGAGGCCAGTGGCCCTTTGAAGCAGGCAGAATAAAATGAACATGAACTCACGACAACAAACTGAGCTAACAAACATTTTAAAACGTAATAGCCCTCAAAAACAACTAGGTGCTGCTAATTCGGTCCCCAGCTGGCGAGAGAAGTGACATATCAGATAAAAAAGGAGCAGCAGCTGAGGCAGCAGCATTAGTTTATAGCCTGAAAGCTAATTCAGCCTGAAAGGCAGCGTGATAGGAAACAAGCTCCACTGCATCTTCTTCTGTTGTGGATTTATTTATAATTTTAAACAACTTTAAGTGTTTTGGTAGCTCTATTCAAATTTGGAAGAAATGCTCTTATTACTGTTGAGTTTAGTAGATCTATTAGTCGATGAGTCAAATACTCATTCAAAAGAAAGTTACTCAACTACTCAATCAGTCATTTGCGTCATTTAATTTCATGTTATGTGGATGTGAGGATTAGCTGATTTTCTAGGTCTTGTATGATTGTAAATTAAATATCTTTAAGACAAAACAAGAAATGTTTCACTATTGTCTGACATTGTAAAGACAAAACGATCAATTAATTAAAGGGATAGTTTGGGTATGTTCAAGGGGGGTTGAATGTGATACTCATCTATAGTCAGTCCCTCCAGGAAATTGCGATGTTGCAGCCGGAACTATTAACACAAATCAACCAATCACTGTGAATTCTGAAAAAAAAATTATAATAATATTTGTTTCTCCCACAATTTCATTGCCAAAAAAACATTGTTTTTGTTTTATTTTAGAAAAGTGAAATCAGGCAACAAAAGCCTACAAAGTTCTGGAGGGACTGCACAGTAGTGTTCAGTGTGCACCCCCAGTTTGGAGAAACGGGCAGGAGTCCTGGCAGAGAAAAACAATGTAAATTAAAAAGGCCCACCTAAAAAAAATATCTATATCAGTTGAAGTGTATGCTATTTTAGGAATATCTCCACCTGCACTTTACCTTGCTGTCAGACAGCCCTTTGTCTTTGGCACTAGAACCTCTGTATTCCTACGCATAAGCCCAGCTGCGCTCTGCACTGTATTGCGCTGCTGAACCTGTGTTAGAAAATTGGGAGATTAGACTGAAATCAAACTTCAGGCTTCAAAATATTTTAAAGATGGTGCATGCTCGTGTTTGCTGTTGCTGTAACTCTGACTCTGTAATTCTTATGCATAGGACTACAGTTGTGGTTAGTTCCAAAGAAAAAGGCTGTCTGGTGGTAAAATAAAGCAGTGAAAATATTCTTAATATAGCGAACACTTGATGATACAGATATTTTTGAGGTAGACTTTCTCTTGTGGCTAAGTTTTTCTGCTGACCCCGTCCACAGCAGTGCATAGCTCAGCTTCCATGCTGGTGCTCCTGTCTGCTTCTCCACAGTGGGCCCCCACACTGACCATCGTTTACTGTAGGTAATACAATGACTATGGATAAATATCCCACTCAGCCCCACTTCAGAATACCCAACCCACCCATTTGATCTAGAAAATAATTCTCAGAATAATCAGTAATGACAATAATTATTAGCTGCAGATGTTTTGTTTTTTTCATAAATGAAACTAATTCAGTGTTTCTGCCTCGAAGGTGTTCTTTGTATGAAAAGAAGAGAGTCACAGCTCAGTAAAATGTAATGGATAAAACCCTCAGTTCTAAAACTTTATCAGCCAGTGAGTGGTGTGTGTCCTCTGCCTCTGGAGCCTTGGTTACACTAAATTTACAGGCCCTCCTCTGCCACAAGTAATACAGTAATACACATTCCTCATTCACAGTTAAAGGAAACATTTTACAGAGAATATTCTGCAACGTATCTTTAAGAGCAAGGTCACTGGTCTGTGGGTGAAAGATGTTGTTGTTGAGATTGAACAAAAAGTAATCCTGAGGAACATTATCCCGGAAGGCCACATCTAAAATTACTTTAATATACTCTGTGTGCATGTGTGTGTGTGTGTGTGTGTGTGTGTGTGTGTGTGTGTGTGTGTGTGTGTGTGTGTGTGTGTGTGTGTGTGTAGAGATGGTGGAGATTTCTATACATACAACAAATACAACAAATAATGTTCAAGGTTTGTGTGAAGGTTATGAAAGATACTGATGTTTCTCTCTCTCTCTCTCTCTCTCTCTCTCTCTCTCTCTCTCTCTCTCTCTCTCTCTCTCTCAGACACATGGGTCTGGACTTGGTGCCCAGAAAGGAGTTTGAGATGGTGGATGAAGACCAGATAAGCGTGTCAGATCTTTATAAGATGGTGAGACCTTTATGTAGTGCAGGAAATAACCTTTAGGGGACTGAGTAATCCCAGTTGAGGGATTACTCAGTCCCCTAAAGGTATCTCATCTGAACAGACCTGAAACATCCAGTAATCCCGGATTACATCGCCATTATGAGTGCAGTAGAAGATAAACACAAAAACCTCACAACAACCAAGTCTGAAGGATAGGGTTTTTGCAAGCATCCATAAGGTCCATTCAGAAAGAGATACACCTTTAAGAAGTGGCAGAGTGTTGATTAAAGTCAATTAAAGATACATTTCACACATTTGACATGAATTCTGGCAGCCGGTTCCATTTTGGATTCATTCCCCAGAATACAAAATAGACTTTTAAGCTCCAGCACTAACAAATGTTTTATCAAACCTTTTATCTGTCCCTATTATTTTACATTAGCAAAGAGTAATAAAAAACATGTAATTTAAGTAGCAAAATATCATTTTTCGCCGTCCGTCACTGCCTTTGATTAAATGCTACATGACGAAGTCATTGTCTTAAATTGTTTGGAAAAGGGCAGGCACCTTCAAAAAATACTCGGTAGGTGATTGTCTATCACGGGTGAACTTCAACCGCTCAGGTCGATGTAGTCAAACTCATACTGAAGCCAGTCGGGAGAAGAGCAAAAACATATTTTCCATTGAGAAAATCCTTCTGTGACGTTCTTTGCTCTTCTTTTAACAAACTCTCCAGTTCTGATAAAGTTGTTGATTGCAGCTACTTCACTCTCAACTGTGGTTGTTTGAGTTTGGTGACTGCAGGCCGATTTGTGAATGTCTTGAAACTCCAGCTGGTGGGGAGCTTTAGTTTCAAATCAGAGGATGCATGATGGACAGTGAGGTTTGGAAGCCTGAAGCCTCGGCAGCTGGTGCAGTAATCATTGAGTGATTGTAACAGACAGATCAACAACTTCATCACCTTCAGATATTTAACACAGACTATTTTAACTATGCAGCAGAAGTCTTACCTGATGCTCCTCGACATCCTGGTTTTATAAAAAATAAAGCTATAGAGTCGTAACTAAGGGAAGGTTTGTTGTGTGTGCTCTAAATCAGCCACCTGTTGGTGTGTTTTGATTCTCTCTCCTGCTGGCTGTCCTCTCATCCCCCTCATCCCTCTACTTCTGTTGTTTTTCCTTCTGATTTTCCTCTCACAACTGAGAGCTACCAACCAAATCTCTCTATGTATATGAAAAATAGCACTTTATTGTATGTTGTATGCCATACTAATCCCAGATGAATCTTCATGTATAAAATGAAGGCTTAGAGAGCTTCCATGTTTTGATTGTAGCACATTCAGTGTCTCAGCTGGAAGAATCCCAGTATAATCACAGACCTCGACTGGTGGCTTCATCAGGATACTTCAGGCTGCTTCAAAAGTAGTTCCGAAAATCAACACTCTGGATCTGAACCAGTGACTGGACCAGTGACTGTCAATCCTGTTTTTCCTGTAATTTGTTTTTTGTAATCTGCAATGACCTTTTAATGAATCCACTCTTTATAACTCACTGTTTTTCACAATTTTAGCTGTTGTTTGAGCTATTGTGCTGCATTTAATTACTACAGGAAATATCAGAACACATGAAGGATCTATAAAAGGGTGAATGTCAGAGATGATTAGCATCTTCTCTACATCACTGACCTGCAGTGCTTTAGCACTCAAGTCCAGTCTCTGACTCCAATACTACAGCTTCCTGTTTCTTTATTGTCTCAGACTCTTTGATATTTGCTCTTGGACTTGGTCATTGGTTCCGCCAAATATTCTAGTTAGTCCACACAGAGTCCAGTAATATAATGTTCATTTTTCTGAAATAACTTCCTCTTTCAAAACAAAATAAATTGAACTGAATGCTTGTTCAGGTATTGGTTTAATTTAAAATCCATCTAGAACAGGCATTGATTGATGTTGGCCGCCATGGCAATAGTATGAAAAAGCATTCTTTTTTTTTTTTTTGTCGGCCTTGACTCTGTCTCTTTCATTTGGACTCAAAGCTGTTTGGAGTCTTTGGCTTTGACATTACTTGATATAAAAATATATCTCTTTTTGTTTGAAGTATTTTTACTGGAAACATTTTGCAGACATTTTGACATTTATACAGAGTAAGGAACTGCTTCAAATTTTAGATTGTACGTAAGTGAAGAGAAAGAGAGAAGATAAAAGGGGGATATGCTCGTCTATTCAACACTTCACCCACCTTTTGACCATTACCTGTAATTTGTCATTTGAGTTTGTATTTAATTTGTGCGTTATTCAGGAAAAAAACATATTTTTAAAAAATGCTTAAATTCTATTCTATATCATGCAGGATAAACCTAATATTATAGGCTATATATTTTAATACTTTGTCCTTCATATGTTCACAGTATGAATGGGTAATCTATTTTCCAGAAACATTGAATGAGATCAGCTGTTTAATGTAGGTCTGAGTTGCTGCAATGTGCAGAGTATTCCTGGTTGTTCATGGTCTCTTAGTAATACTTGATGTTCTGTGTTCTTACATCAGTCCTGCTTTAAATAGCTGAGCTGTACCAGTCAAACACTGTAGTCGTGGTGATTCCCCCTTTGTCCCGTTGCCTAGAGACAGATCTAGAGACACAGGGAAGAGGAAGAAAGAGAAACAGAGAGATAAAGCGGTAAAGTTGACAGATGGTAGGATGGAAGGTGGTGAACAGCTAACATGCAGAAGGAGAAAAAACATTACAAGCATTTTCTACTATTTCTGACCCAGAATGTTTTCTTTACAGACGTGTACATTGATAAGAATGACAAGAACAAATAAAGAAAAGCAAAAGAAAGTATCACAGACAAGAGACGGATGTGAAATGATGTTAAAAGTATAATTCAAATGGTTCCCTGTTGGTAAATTGTTTATTTTCAGTAATTACTATTTGCTCTTGTTTCAGTCTTGGTTGTTAAAATTGACCAAGGAAAGGTCAAGATGAAGTAAACACAAGATAAGATCAAATTAAACTTCCATTGATCCCTGAGGTGAATTTACATAACTGCAGCAGCAGCAGAATAAGATACTACAACACAAAGTAAGCACTAACAAACTTTCCAAAATAATACAGCAGGAAAACAATCAATTGCAAGATGCACTGTGAATATAAAGCAACTGTTTAATGATAAAAACATATATTTTTGGGATAGAACTGGATTATTTATAGGAATATGCTTGATTAATTAAAGATCTTTTCATGTTTCCAAACCACTGACATATGAAAAATGGATGTAGCGCCCATATTTTTTGCCAGTGTACAAAAATTAAGCTTCGGTATCGAGGTCCCGCCCACACACTCAACCAAGTCAATCCCGAGCAGGGCTGAGCTGTCAATCATGACATGAAACCCCCTTTTCATGGCATCAAGTAACTGATTCAAACCAAATCAGCGTTAAGAACTACCTAAAGCGCCGAAAAGCATCTTTTGGAAAAAAAAATATTTGACGTGTACTTACATTTTTTTGTTTAGCCCGATCTGCTAACATATTTCTCGTACACCGGCTGAACACTTTGAAGCAGCAACATTTCTGATTGGTTACTCGGCAAAACCCAGTGTTAGAAAGCCAAACGAGGAAGCGGCTGCAGGCTGGTGTTAATTCTCTGCTCAGGTTGGAATATTTGCAGATTGCTTGCATTTGACAGTCATTACTTCAATTCATCAAACAGGTTTTCACTTCTCGCCGGCTCTCTTCTCATACAGCCACGAAGAGATTTACAGAGACAAGTCGGAGTAATGAGTCTCTCTGGCGTTTAAGCATTTTCATCATCTGAGGAGGAGAATGAGGAGAACAGAATGGAATACAATAGAGTGGAGGGGAGGATAACAGAGCTGGGAAAGTAGGAGAGGAGACAGAGAGAGGAGAGAAGGCAAGGAAAGGAGGAGAGGAAACAAGGGGTGAACAGGAGCAGAGGAAATGAGAAGGAGAGTAGAGAAGAGATGGAACAAGAAGAGACAATGAGAGGAGAGGGAAGGCGAAGATAGGAGGCAAGGAGATTAAAATGGGTATAAATGAGAAGAAATTGAAATGAGCATAGAGGAAAGGAGATGTGAGGAAAGAACATGATTATTACACCTGTAATTGTTTTGTGTCTTTCTCTCTTCCACAGCATCTGTCTAGCAGACACAGTGTACAGCAGAGCACCACACAGGTAACGCACCACATACTGTCTGTAATCCTATCAGGCGTCAAGTCCTTAAGCACTTTACTAAAGTACAGTTTTGAGATACTGGTACTTCAGATGTGCATTTCCGTTTCCCTACAACATGAAGATACTATAAGACTTTCAAAAATTCAACTCTAAATGAAAATCACAGTTTGTACTTTAACTGTGTCAAACTCTGCACATAAGACCAGAATTGTATTTTAGTAATTTATTTAATATAATGTTGTTTATTTAGTTAAATTTATGTACAAGACTGATAAGTTTAAAGGCTCTACACATTAAATGATACGTTTTCCCATAATGCTTGTTTTGTCGTGGATTTCCAGGGTGACGGCACCCGGCAGCGACACGGGGAGCCGTGTAGAGTTCCAGTTCCACACCACCTACTGGTCAACCTGAAGAGCTTCACCTATAACAGCATAGGAGAAGACACGGACATATTCTTCTCTCTGTATGACCTGAGAGAGGGCAAAACCATCAGGTAGAAACATACACTCCTTAAACACATCATGTGGGCAATAGACTCTTCAGTTTCTTGTTTTCTGGATTTCTGTTAGCATGTTCTTCCAGCTGGTTTTAATGAGTTTGCTGATATGACTGTAAAGTAGGGGCGCAGCAGTACACAAAAGAAATGATTTGAATCTCTAGTGGTGGATTTCGCTTAGTGATTTATGTCTTGGGGGGTTATGTGCTGATTTACTATAATTTGCTGCAAAAGAGTGGTCACAGTTAAATTAATCACAGCAGTACATTTTATATGATATAATAATAATATTGTTAGCAGTCTGTGTGTTTCTGTTTTAATATCTCAGCTTTATTGGCATAGTCACAGTTCAACCTGCAATAACTGATGTTTTGGCCATTGAGGGGAAGCGGAAACAAGTTGTGAACATTGACATATCATCACCGTTTAAATTGATACGGTGAAACTATTCAGCAAAGAGTTGCTAATTTATAAATCCAGCAGTTATGGAACAAAATGATCATTCATTTTTCAAGTCCAATATTCACTCTCCTTTAGCTCTGTTTGGGTCTTCCCAACTCCTGAGGGAAATATCTGGCTCCACTATGTTCACCAGCTAGTCTCTAACTGTGTCTGCTGTGTGCTGTTGAGCAGGTAGTGTACTGTGGGACAGACAATAAACAATGAGATGAAACTTGCTATAAAAGCTCTGTTAAGCTGAGGGGAGCTGCAGATTCAGCTGATGATTCTCTATAGGTTCATTACTGGCAACCCCTTTCATATTGTCATGTTTTCACTGTCTCATTAATTGTTATTATAAAAATATAAGATATAGCCACTTTAAACATACTGCAAGGAGTTTTTAACTGATTATGAAAGAGCATTCATTTAATACTGATACCTCTATATCAGTGGTTCTCAACAGGTTTCACCTTGGGATCCACATTTTCAAGTCGCATCCCACTTTTATAGAATTCAAACCGAGCAAATGTATTTTTCAAATAGGCTATTAAACACATACACTGTCATCATGGCCCTTTCTAACACAAAATACTCTTATATTTCCATCCATGGATTCAGGCAGGGTCCGTGTTTTGCATACTTCTACACACATCGACACATAAACACACACTGCCCAATGCCATCTTCTTACAACATAAAATATACTCATATTTTCATCCCTGCAATCAGAGCACATCACTCTGATAATAAACTGAGTATGAAGATCACAACTGCTTGCTGCTGGTTCTTATGAATAGGATTTAAATTAACATATAACTGCATAACGACACACAAAATAAATACGTTCTACAAAACTGGCTTTTTGCACTTAACAGAGATTTGTTGAGACTTTTTTCTCGAGTCAGTCATAATATAGCAAATCATTAAAAACAGGTATTTTCTTTTTTTTGACCACACACTCTGAGACTCATTTAGAACGAGTTGCAAATGACCCGTTGAGAAAGCGTGCTCTATATGACCTTCAAACACAAACAAGACCACCAGCAAGGAGATTGGCTATATAGTTATTCTTAATGCCTGCCAGCGGGTCAGATTCAGTCAGATTGAGACGAGATGAGAGATGAAACACTACTGTTGTCATAGGGCTGCCAGAGCACAAACACAAAATGTAGTAAAGTACAGTGCTGCCAAAGCATATACAAGGTGTATAGTTTCTGTCTCTGCTCTTTATGTAACCTTTCACACACTCTCTCTCTCTCATATCTGACATATTGCCTTCATATTATGGAACAAATAGTGGCAAGTGGCCACACACAGCTGCTGTGAATAATACATGACCAAGCAGCATAATTATTGCACATCAATTATGCATTAGTGGAGTGATCACAATGCTAACGGATAAGGAATTGCTAATGCTGTGATGGCAGCGGGGTGTGTGTGTGTGTGTGTGTGTGTGTGTGTGTGTGTGTGTGTGTGCGTGTGTGTGTGTGCGTGTGTGTCTGTTAGAGTTATGAATACATAGCAGAGTGCAGTTCAGTGTAGGGTCAATGAGGATATTATACACAAATGTTGATGATTAGCAGAAAGTAGAACTAATGTCTTTTGTGTACATGTGCTTTCTCTCCATGTAAGTGTGTGTGTGTGTGTGTGAGAGAGAGAGAATGTGTCTGTACAGAAAACAGTGACGGTTCAACAAACACAACATCTTTTTATTAATTTAGTTTCTCACTCTGTCTCTTCATTGCAAACCAGCTGGAGGCTCTGTCCTCTCACACGCATGCACACACACACACACACACACACACACACACACACACACACACACACAACACACACACACGCATACACACACAGACACACACACACACACACACATAAACACATGCACACATACAGAGAGACCACAAATACATCTGACCTTGGCAGCCTGTTTTCAATGTCTGGTCTGACTCAGCATTAGAGTCTAATGACAAGACCTGCTCCTCTGAGACGCTCAGATGGGAGCGGACAGAGGATGAAAAGAGAGAGGAGGGAGTGGGAGAGGAGGAGGGAAGAGGAGAAAGAGAGAATGGAGGATGAAAAGGGAGGAGAAGTAGAGGAGAGGAGAGGCCGGAGGAACTCATGGCTTTCAGTAACTTTCCAAAAAATCCTCCGGCTATTGAGATTTAACTCACCCAGTGAGACTGTTCGCCCTCCGCTGAGAATTATTTGTGCAACTTAAACTTTTTTTAAACCAGTGTGTGTGTGTGTGTGCGTGTGTGCGTGTTTCAGTGTGTGTTTGTGGTTTTCAGTGTGTGTCTTTGCGTCTCTTGTTATTGCCCGTCCAAAAAGCACCATGATCCCTCTGCAGTGAGACGCTGAGATGGAGGCTGTAATGTGGTTGATCTCAGCAGGTGATTTCTCTCTGACTTTTTCTCTGGTGTCCTTCCCCAAAGCCATCAGTGTGTCTCTGTGGGGACGTCTGAGAGGAAACTGAAACCTTCCACAGATTTCTCATCTCGTCTTTCCTCTCAGGCAGACCGAAGACTCTGTTCCAGGGAGCAGGAAACAATTGTCTGTCGGCCTCAAGAAAACCTTTTGTTTTTGTTCGTGCAGAAAGAGAAATATTTTAAGGAAATTCTGAATTCATGTCGTTTGTAGAAGCTTATAAGACTCCTCTGAAACTCTCTATTTAAAGGTTGTCTAATTTTACACTGTCTGACTGTTTGACTCAGGCTTTGCTTGTTGCTTGTTTAAATTCTAAATGGATTATACATCAGGATGCTGCAATGCCCTCGTAAACCTTGATCAGTGTATTTTAGCAGCAACGTTACAGACTAACCGGTCTTACATTGATGAGATAATAAGTTAGAAAATATAAATGTAAGTTTGATAAATCACATTTTATATTCAGCTTCTTATTTTCAGTTCAATCATTAACTGCTCTTCCCGCAGAAGAAGAGAACAACAAACACAATCACGATGCTGTTTGTTGACTGCGAGCAGGAAGCCAGCTTCGATATTGAATGACAGACGAAAATCAAGAAAATGGATTTGTGGTTGAAATGGAGAAGCAATACAGCTGAAAACACTGAGAAAGAAGCGAAAAAGAAAGAGAAAACAGAGCCAACAAAATAGCATCAGTGTCAGGAAGAATATGTTTTAATAGGATTTACCTCAGTGGGCTTCAACCCTCCTGAGGCATTGTGCTTTTACAGTTACAAGGTTGTTGTTTAATAAATCAGACACTGATGGCGCAGCGCTGTGTTGGAGGCTACCTCTCATATGGGCATTTATTTTCTGTCAAAAATGTTTTGCGCTGGTCAGAGAGTACTTGGCTGAAAAATATTTCAAACAGAAAACATAATTGAATTGAACTGATTTAGACAACTAATTATTTGTCCGAGTTAAAATGAGACCAGAGTTTAAAAGTGAAAGTTCTGTTTTATTGTGAGAACTTCTCTCGCCTCTTATCTATATAGACAGAGGTGGGAAGTAATGAAGTACAAATACTTACTGCCCTGCTTTTTACTTTTACCCCCTACATTTTTACACAATATCTCTAAGTTGTACTCCTTACATTTTCTCATTACAGACTTGTTTAAGTTAGTTTTGCACAGAAACAGCCAGTAATAATATATGCTTTTTAGTATATTTCAGAGCATATACATTTACTTGAGTAAAGAAGGACTTTTACCAGAGTATCTGTACTTCTACTTGAGTAAGGAATGTGTGTACTTTTGCCACATCTGAATACTGGGTGAGTTAAAACGAAAAATTGGCATTATTTGAAAATATAAACTACAGGTTTAAGCAACATGAAACATATGGTCTGTATTCTGCCACCATCATCAGCCGGGTTTCTACTCCATCAGTAGTCAGCTTTGAACTTCTTCTACAAGTAGAAAAGACTTTTCCACTCCAGTCATGACAGCAGAACACTATTAACTCTGTATTCTGTCACTGGATTTTAAATCTCATCCCTCCAAGGTGTGACTCACAGGAGTCTGTTCTCTTCTTTTCAACATAATTTTCTTCTCATCATGGAAACATCTTTAAGCTTTTCTTTATTTTTCTTTCCCAATAATTTCTTTCTTACATGATTTTACTTTGATTTTCATTCTGTGTCACTTTGGTTAATCGATTCAACTGAACGCCTAAGATAATGCTATAAATCTGTGCGCGGTGTAGTGAAAGCGAGTGTTTGTGCAGCATCATCAGCTGTAATGTAATGCAGTCAAATCAGCCGTCAAGTGTTGAATCAAGGTTAAATTGAAAATGGCTTCACTCTACTGAATTTAAACTAATAGAAGATAATCCACTTATGTCATGTAGAAACAAGCTTTTTACTGGAAGGTGGTAAATTCCATGCATCTGTATAGCCCAGTATCACATACTAGGTTTAAAAAAACAAAAAGACAAATACTATTAATATTAGTAATGGTCGGCAATAACATTTCAGCCACCAAAGAAGTAAAAGTTCTGCACAAAATTTAACTATTTGGAAAGCCCAATATCCCATGTAATGTCTCAATAGAGAGCTGCAGGGATAACCCAACCTGGAAGTTAGCATTGCAAGATACATTTTCATAAATTGAGTATAAACACAACGAGGCTGTAAAGGCGGACTAGTCAGTAGATAAGTTTGGCATGTTTAATGTCTCCGACAACCTCTTTAGTCTCATTTAGCCAGTTGTTAGCAACCGCCTTCTTTGAGACACGTAAAAGCTATAGTACCTCATTATAATGCAGTTTGGTCACACATTTTACCTGTATCAAAGGAGATTTGGATATTGCATTAGGCCATATTGCGATTTTGTCCTACCAAAAACCCATTTGAAAAACCCCACTGACTTCACGGTGCTAAAATGCTAACTCATTTAGGTTGGGACTAATTCCTGCAGAACTCTATGGGATTTTAAGGCTCCCTGACTGAGCACAAGTTCCCTTAAAATACAGAGAAAAAGCCCTAGAAAGCCTCAGTACATAAGGGGATTGCCCCTGATCCGACTGCTGGAGGTGCAGTAAGAGCCGTAGGTGTGAAAATGACAATTGAAAGCTGTAGAAGAGCTGTAGTTAAAGAATATGACAATTGGCCAATGTCTCTGGTGCAGTAGGTGGATCGGTGGTGATGGGGGAAGGACAGTGGATGCAGTCTGGAGGATGGGTGTGATAGATAACGTCAGGGTTAGCTGTGAGGTTGCTGGTTTAAATCCTCAGATCAGCAGAGAGAGAGAGTAAAATCCATGATCCTTCCTTCCCCACGGGTCTGAGCAGCGGGTCTGCTCTGCGGCTGACAGTGGCAGGATGTGGTCGCTCTGGGCGGCTCCCAAGTGTGAATTTTATCTACGTGAACAAATTCCTCTGGATAAATAAGGTTGGAAAGCGCCCAGTCATCCTGACTGAGTGTGAGTGCGGAGGCTCTGCTGCAGATATGGTACATTCAGAGGATGGATGGCAACGATGTGGAAATGACTTGTTCATATGCATTTCACAGTATGTGTGTGTGTGTGTGTGTGTGTGTGTGTGTGTGTGTGTACACCATATGTGAATATGACCGAGTGCATCCACGCGTACATCCATCTGCAGTCTACATGTACGTGTGTGTGTTTGAACACGTTTGCATCAGGCACAACATTTTCTGATTGCATCCACGTTGTTTATGTTGCCTCCTTCATATTGACGTAGACATAAAATAGAGTTAATAATTCAGCTGTGCGTGTGTGTTTGTGTGTGTGTGTGTGTGTGTGTGTGTGTGCGCGTAGCTGAACAGTGAGCGTGTGTACTTTGTGCATGAGTGTGTGTTGTATATTCGTGCCTGCTGCCACCTAAGAGAAGGTTACAAATTACTTTGGATAGCGTGTGTGTTTTGGCCACAGAGTATCTCTCTCTCTCTCTCTCTCTCTCTCTCTCTCTCTCTCTCTATCTATCTATCAATCTCTCTTTCTCTCTCACTCTCTCTCAGTGAGGAAAAACAACAACAACAAAACAGGAACTACATTTGAATATGAAAATCACAAACTCACTCTTTCTTTGCACCCCCTCTGTCTCCCACCTCCTCCCTCTCTCACACATTCCTACTGTTCGGGACGAAATACATATTTATTCTCTTTTGTTGTGTTTGTTTGTTTGTTTGGGCCGCGGTATCTCTTGGGGATTAGAATAAATTGTTTAGTTTAAAGAGTCGGACACGGTGTGTGTGTTGTGGGGATTTGTCGGTCCTCACTGCTGCTGTTTGCTGTTTGAATTGTGCAAATATTAGCAATAACCTGAGAGTTGTTTTTTTTATTGTGTGGGAGTATATGCTGGATAATAAAGACTATATGAAGAGCTGTTTTTTATGAGATGCACTATTTTCCAGGAAACACAATAGGAATGCATACCTGCAAAGTGGCCGATGACACAAAATCATGACAAATTCTAGTAGTTTGGAATAAGGATGCCCAGACACCACTGCATGTACTTACATTTAGGTACTTTCCGGTATCAGCATAATACTATTACATTTCTAACAGTGACTTGGATGTTCCTTACTTTCTGACTGTAATAGACTAAATTCTATTGCTATTGATAATTGGTAAAGTTGCTTAAAATATCTGCGGTATCGGAGTAGTTTTATGATTACTATTACAAGTACATGAGCACAGTATTGGACCTGATAACTGATACTTGTATCGGGTGTCGTTACATCCCTAATTTGGAAATGTTTAACCGTGAGGTATTGTTATTATAGACAGGATCCTGTATGTTAAGGATGAAGTTCAGGTAGTGAAATAAGTGTAATAATTTTGATTAGACTGTACTGATGTATTAGTATGCCTAGAAATCTGCTGAGTCCAGCTAATCAATTATAATCATCAATAATTCCCCTTAAACGCATTAAAACTAAGGTAACAAGCCTGCTTTGAAAATGTAAGAGTAGAAAATATAGATATTTGAGTCAAAGCGCAGGGTGCACATACCTCAACTACTTAAGTACAGTAACAAAGTAATTGTACTTAAATACTTCCCACCTCTGTACAATCAAACACCATCTTGAGTGTGTTGTGGTCTGGTCCCAGTGCATTCTGGTTGTCATAGGATTTCTACCTCTTGAGTAAAAGGGAATACCCCAGCTCTTTTTTTTATCTGGTCATGTAGCACCAATTTCAAAAATACACAGGCCAGTTTTATATATATAAAAAAAGAAGAACATCCAAATACTCTCCAGAGTATACCTCAACACTCACTCACACTCCAACAGTACAGTTTTTAGAGAGAGAAATAGATAGTTAAGGATATAGAGGGAGAGATATAGAGCATATTAGGTGAGTAAGTACTCTCAGAAGAAGGTCTTCAAGCTATTTTTGAAGACAAGAGAGTGGTTCTGCTGTCTGAATGGAGTTGGTAACTTAATCCACAACCAAGAGAATCTGAGTTTGAACTGAGATTTCCTGCCTCGCACTAGTGGCGATTGGACTATTGGTAGTTCATTGGCAGGTCGTAAACGTGAAGACTCACTAAACCTAAATGGAGAGTTTTCAGAAAGATTTCAGGTATGACAAACAAATATTTCGGTTTATTAGAATGAGGCTTTTGAAGAAAAAAATACCTCTTGTTTGCCCAGTAGTATGATTGCTTCAGTTATGATGTATTTATTTCGACAATACCAGTTGGTGAGTGCTGGAGGTTTGTTTGTTCGAATCCTCGAGTAAAATCATCATTTTTGTCAGTGGAGTCTGTGGGTGAACAAGAGTGAAAGAACAGCTACCTCGACCCTTTCCATAATGTTGTCAGACACTGAGAATAACCATCTGAGCCTGTCAGTGGCAAACTAAGTGGACGCACTTTGAGGGATGCACAAGGATTATGTTGCTGTTGGTTTGCAAATATTTCACTTCTAACTCAGAGAATTAATAGATTGTTTCCTCCAAACCAGCAGTGGTTAGTGTTGGAAAGAGTAACAAAGACTCAGTTATTCATTTATTTTCTTTTTGTCCAGTGTGTTTCAAAATCAAATGTCAATAGACTCTGGTGAGCTGTAGCGCCTGTTTGTTTTGGTTTGAGATGCTGGTGTTCTAGTGCGACATCTAGTGGCAGTTAATGCCACATATGTAATCTTTAAGTTTATTTTGGTCTAAAATGTCATAAAATCATTCTTACAAAACTCTGTTCATCTATTTTGTTACCAAATGCATCTTCTTCAAAACCAGGTGTTGTTGTGTGTGCATCAAAGAGACTGAAAATCAGCAAATATCAGTGGATTATTGGATTAGTGTGTGCCACTCACAGTGTTCAGTCACTTATGATGGGAGGAATCTTATAATGCGTCTGAGGCTTAGCTGTATTAATATCAAGCACACCATTATTGAATGAAAGCATGTCAGCTTAGTCATATTCCTCTGGATAAATAGGGGTTAAAGAACAGAGTCGCTGACACCAGCAGACAATATTTTGCTGTTCCCTGAAGCGAAAAAGGCTGAGACACGCTGCTTTAGAGTTTGCTCACTGACGGTACTCAAGGGGGAGAAGAGAGGAGACATGAGGAGAAATCTAAAAGAATTTTTATCTCTTTCAGAAAACCCCTAAAGAGATTCAGTGGGGGCACCAGGGGTGAAAGTGGTTGGAGCCAAGTTTCTAAACCTTGGAGTCAGGCTGGGCAGGATATGGGGCTGCAGCTAATTATTATTATCTCATAATGATTTTCTTGATTAATCAATTCGTTTTTCGGTCCATAAATGTAGGAAAATGGTGTGAAATGTGGATCACTGTCTCCCAAATCTCAAGCTGACATCCTGTCTGTTGATATTCAGTTTACTGTCGTAGAGGACTAAAGAAACCAAAAAATATTTTCATTTGAGAAGCTGAAATCAGAAGGTTATTTTTCTTAAAAAAGAAAGACCAATCAATTATAAAGATAGTTGGCAATCAATTTGATTGTTGATAACTAATGGATTAATCAACTAATCATTGCATTTCTAATGCAGATGAGATCACAATGATTTCTAAGATTACTATAATGATATTTGGTTGATAAGCTGAATTATAATTATTATAAATTGGAAATATCTATAGTTTCTCACAGAAAACTAACTAGAAGATTTGGGACATAGAAACTGAATCTTGGACTTGGACCTGTGAGTCCTGCGTTCACAGATATCCAAGCTTTGTTCTACAGTTAAAGGCAGCCGTTGTTCTATTTGTGTATTTCAGTGAGAAGTTCATGGTGAGACTGAACAAGAACGGAGGACCAAAGAATCCAGAGAAGGTGGACAGGCTGTGTGCCCTCTTTACGGTAACACACACACACACACACACACACACACATACATACATACAAACATACAAATATAAAACATGCTTAAAGTTAGTTTAAGGAGAGTACATTTGTAGAACTGGGATGAATGAATAGAATAAATGTAAGGATGCATTGCCCCCTATTGCTCTGATGTAGAATCAGCGTGGAGAGGAAACAGCTTCAGTCACAATCAGGAGGGTTCAGCCTCGACAAACATATTTTCATTGCTGTTAATGTGAGGCTCTTTAGATAAAAGCTCCTCAGGTTTCCTCAAGCATTAGTATGAGTGCTTCAGAAAATAGAAACCCCATTTAAGACAATAATGTTTGATTAATACAGCACATTTAATTCAAGACACACACCCGGTTTGAGGTTGATTCACTCGTTAAGCAGACAGATAACAATACAGGAAACAATGTTAAAAGGCAACAACAAACAAGGCACTATAAATCTGTTTGGAAACCCATGTGGTTTAGGGGTTAAGATGTCAACCATGAACCGTGTGTTCTAAAAAAACATGAAATGCCCCAAGAAATAATATAAATTTGAAAAAAGTAGGCAAAAGATGAAGATGGGAATTCCAGAGGACTCTCCAGTCGTGCGTTTATACACTGTAGGTTTGAACATTAATCTTGATGTTTGCTGCTTCTCCTTCTCTTCTCTCTGCAGTGTGATTAATGTCATAGAGCAGGAATCAGCGCCGTGTTTGAACTTACATTTTCAGTTCTTGTGATTTCTGTCTGTCTCTTGGGCTCTGCAGGACCTGAGCAACAAAGACATGAAGCGAGATCTCTACATCATCTCCCAGGTCATCAGAACAGGTAAGACTGGAGTGATTAAGATATACAGTGTGACATACAGGAGGCAACATCTACACAATGTCATACAATCCTGAAATAAAAGAGTTTTGGTTGAGACTGTAGTCCACGGGTCATTTTTGAGTACTTCTTCTACACTAGACTGTGATTAATAATTAATAAAGTAAGGAAACCTCACAGTAACCATCATTCATTCATTCATGTAAAAAATATATATACACAGTTTATGATTCCAGCTTTTTAAATCTGTTCTCCTTATTTGTAATTGTTTACTTCCAACTCATTTGTGTGCTGCTGAATGAATTTGGTCCTAGTCTATGTCCAATATTTCTCACTATATAACACACACACTCTTCCTGTTCCAGGTCGCATGCTGTTGAATGACAGTAAGAAAGGCCCTCCGCACGTTCAGTACCGCCGACCGTACGGCTGTGCAGTCCTCGCCATGAGCGATGTGCTGCAGACCATCTCAGAACTCAAAGAGGAGAAAGATTTTGTCCTGAAAGTCTACACGTAAGTGGTTGCACACACAAACACAAACAGTAAAATAAATATGCTGAAAATAAAGTAATTTACACCCCTGGTTCCCAACCTGAGGGTCCCAACCATCACTAGGGGTCTTATTAAGCCTATTAGATGTGTATGAATGTTAAATGTTTGATTTTTAAAATACATAATACAGATAGATCTTTTAATTTATTGAAAGTTCCCAAAAGAAAAATAATATCTGATCAATATTCACAAGAAATAACCCGCTTAAAATTCATCCAAAATGCTAATTTTATAACATAAGATATTACACTGTTTTTTTTCTTTACTTGATTGTCTTTTTTTACCTTATATTGTAGTATATCTACTGCTAGTTCTCCATATAGTAACTAAAATGCTGAAAGTTTACTTATAACCTGGCTACCTTCTGACTTCTGAAACTCTTTTTTGCCTCGTTTATACTCCGTCTGAAGATCTGCTGATTAAAACCGATTTTATACAAAGCTGAACGATGAACTGAGTCACCGCATGAAAATGAATATAATACTTTAGCACTACCAGCAGCTGAACCAGACATTAAACGTAGCTCTGGGATCAAGAACTCGCAGCGAAATGGGTTCATAAAATCATAGCTCCATTCATTTATAGATCACAGGGTGAAAGCACAAATGTGAGGGTCAGACTTCTAGTTGGGAGCTTCACAACTGTACCTTTTAACCTGACCTCATAAACAGACACACACACACACACACACACACACACACACACACACACACACACACACACACACACACACACAGGGCTCCATGAGAACATTTTCTTATTAGAAGAAGATCTTATAACTGAACCTTTTGGGGCAGAGCAGAAAAGTAGTTTGGAGTGAGACTTGTTCAAAATGAACGTGAGAGAAAGGTCAGAGAGAGAATGGGCTGAAGGTTAAAGATAAGAGACAATAAAGAGGGTGGCATACACAATCTTTTCATCATATCTTTACTTTCATTCTTCTGACCTTTTCCTCTCTCTCTTCCCTTTGTCTCTGTACTCTTTACCTCATGTAACACTTCACCCTCTTATTTTCTCTCTTTCATTATGTAAAGGAGAGGAAGGAGAGAGAGAGAGAGAGAGAGAGAGAGAGAGAGAGAGAGAGAGAGAGAGAGAGAGAGAGAGAGAGTCCCCATAAGCTACAGACAGCCACTTCTCGATTTTGTCACAGAGTCGTCTCTGCAGTCTTATAATGCCATCAGCACATTCTTGTCACACACACACACACACACACACACACACACACACACACACACACAGTTGATGGCAGACATTAGGGAATCCCCCTCGGCTGAAACTTCTGAAGACTTGCCTGCAGGAGCCCCACAGTTCTCACAGTCACCACATGATGTAACTGTGACTGTGTGTGTGTGTGTGTGTGTGTGTGTGTGTGTGTGTGTGTGTGTGTGTGTTTTGGTGCCTCGCAGCAACCTTAGCTGAACTCCTGAGGATGCTTCATGCTTCATGGGTGGTTACACATCCTCTCAGTGTACCTCGGGCAGCCTGCTTCTCAAGCTTCTTGTGATGTCGATGTGACTGAAAACGATAAAATGTTACTGACACCATACGACGATTCAGCCAGAAACAAAACAATAATAACTGCAATCAGCCGGTAGCTCTGCTCCTACTGGTGCCATCTTCTGTGCTGCTTCAAAGTCCAGCTAGCCCTTCTGTTTGACTCCAGTAGGGCTCATATTCTGTTTTAGCTCCAATTATATAATATTAACTGTATACACTTTGTTGCAATCTTCTCTACATGAAGCATAAATCAGCCTTTTAATACTTTTTTGTTATGTTATTTGTGTAAATAATAACAACTAGTGGGTCTACTATTTCTTATGCAGAACATTTGAGTTATGTTCTTAACTAACCCTCTCCAAGATTTTCTTATTTCTATTGTCAATGTGTGCTATTGTCAGGGTTAGTCACAAAATATTTTTCCGCTTCATAAGACCTGAGGTTTGTTGTTGTTCTCCAGGTGTAACAATGAGAACGAATGGTACCAGATCCACGAGAACATCATCCGGAAGTCCAGCACCAAATACACAGCTCCCAGCACCAACTACGGTAGGAAGGACAGAGCGTGTGTGTGTGTGTGTGTGTGTGTGTGTGTGTGTGTGTGTGTGTGTGTGTGTGTGTGTGTCTGTGTGTCTGTGTGTCTGTGTGTGTGTGTGTGTCTGTGTGTCTGTGTGTCTGTGTGTGTGTGTGTGTGTGTGTGTGTGTGTCTGTGTGTGTGTGTGTGTGTGTGTGTCTGTGTGTGTGTCTGTTTGTCTGTGTGTGTGTGTGTGTGTGTGTGTGTCTGTGTGTCTGTGTGTCTGTGTGTGTGTGTGTGTGTCTGTGTGTCTGTGTGTGTGTGTGTGTGTGTGTGTCTGTGTGTCTGTGTGTGTGTGTGTGTGCTGTGTGTGTCTGTGTGTGTGTGTGTCTGTGTGTGTGTGTGTGTGTGTGTTTGTCTGTGTGTGTGTGTGTGTGTGTGTGTGTGTGTGTGTGTGTGTGTGTGTGTGTGTGTGTGTGTGTGTGTGTGTGTGTGTGTGTGTGTGTGTGTGTGTGTGTGTGTGTGTGTGTGTGTGTGTGTGTGTGTCTGTGTGTCTGTGTGTGAGTTTATCTCGAGCATGACTGACAAGTTAGTGGAAATTTAGTGTCAGTGTACGAGTGTGCAGATCAATGATCTCTGTGCTAGAAAACAAACAAACAGCAAACCCAAACTTGATCAAATGTGTGTGTTTTAGAATGATAAGTACATAGAAACAGACATAGCACAGAAATAACCCACTCTGTAATAATATTTTAAAGGTTATATGTACAAAATTCACTTGCCACTAGATGGTATTAGAGCACCAGCATCTCAAAGTTAGCTAATGCTCAGTAACAAATGGGCTGTGACAATGTCCGTCCACTAACAGTTGTAGTTGTTTGTTCCACTAACAGTAGTAGTTTCTGCCACTGACAGACTCAGGTTGTCATTGTCAGTGTCTGACAGCATTATGGAAAGGATCCCTACAGAGATAGACCTTTAGTTTAACCACAAACAGCCGTAATATCACTCGCCACCCCTCTCCACAGTAATTTTACCTATATCATTGTAACATCATTACTTACTTACAACAACAATCACCAACTCACCAACCAAATCAATTAATCCGAATGCTATCAGCTGTTTTCTCTGTGGTAACATTAACAACAGTCTGCATGTCTTTGCTCTCTGCCTTTTCCATATTTGGCTTCTGTAAGTCACCTTGTTACCTCTGTTATAGCACAGATGTTTGTCCAGCTGCATTAGTGACTCATGTTACTGCATAAGTAAGGACAGAGCATCACTCACACAGACACACAAAACACTCAACAGTTTTCTAGACACCAATAAACTTAGTTAGACACATGAACTCAGAAGAACTCATAAAGTCAGTTACAAAACAAACACACAAACCTCCCAGGAGCGACTTGTCCAGTTTGGAGAGCGGCGCGCACTGTGACTGACACATGCATGTCATCACTTGACATCAGCTGGAAAATCATCTTAATTAGTGTCACTGCAGGGAATCTCAGCCTCCTGTGAACTCCGGCGTCCCCAAAAGTTTATCTTTTAGAAATGTAGCTGTAGTCCTTATTGAAGGAGGTTGGAGACGCACTCACACACTTACATTTTGGTTATTTTCATTCATTTAACGTCCCTCTTGAGAAACCGTAGTCATCATACACTTAGATATTTTGCCATAGAAAATGAAGATGTGCTTTTCTTTGCAGCCGCATAGCTCCAGTACTCACTGTGCCTTCAGTTTAAGAGCTCACATCACTTCAGAGGTTTCTGATACAACATAGAAACATAAACACAGTACTGGCAGAAAAAAACAGTGTTATCTGAGAAACCTGAACCAGTAACCAGGCTATTAAATGTGGGTATGAGGTTTAGCTTGTTTCAGTTTATTCCCCCATCACCTCTACCTGCATACTGCTCTCCTCTCCACCGGTTACATCCTTACTTCTCTCTACAATCTCTCTTTCTCTTCTTTTGCTTGTCAACCTACTCATTGCTCTCTCTTCCTTCCTTCTCTACTTCTCCCTGCAGGTCTGATCATCTCTCTGCAGCTGCTGAGGGGAGACATGGAGCAGGTCCGCAGAGAGAACCCGCTCATTTTCAGCAGGGGGGTGGCCATCACTCGCAAACTGGGCTTCCCTGATGTCATCATGCCAGGTGAGTCAGCCACATGTACAAATGTGTGTGTACACATGTCACGGCACAAAGAGGTGTCCAGTTCAGTTCATTCATTTATGGTATGGGGAAGAATTGGAAGTGTGTTTGCTTCCAATGACTCTCTATGAACTGTAATATTCACTGACTGCACCTTAAAGTAAAGGTGTCCAGTCAGCAAATGGGTTTTATATATATCGTTTATATTATTAGATAGCATTAAATATATTGTACAGTCTACATTGTACACTTGAAGAAGTTTCAGTTCAGAACTAGAAAGGCCTTTTGGATCAGTGAATATGACAGAGTATACTGGATTATTCATTCATCTCTTCAAGTACCTGGATTAATGAGATGGACCTTCACACACACATATTAGTTACTGTAGCTGTGCCTTTAAATGATAATTCATTAATCAAATTCCCATCAACTATTTTCTCCCTGGTTATAAAAATACCACAAATCACCTTTAAACTGGTTGTTTCTTCAGGTATATCTGCATCTGAAGTATTTACTATTACATTGCCTTTATTTGTTTATTGGAAATGTTATTAAATGTTACTGTTATTAATACAATTGACAGACCAGTGTGTAGCATTTAGTGGCATCTAGTGGTGAAGTTGCAGATTGCACCCAACTGAATACCGCTCGCCTTCCAACCATTAGGGAGAAACTATTGTGTCTGTGAATCTTGCAGAAAATGCTTAAGGCCCTATCTAGAGCCAGTATTTGGTTTGTCCGTTCTGGGCTAGAAACATGGAGGACAACCTGTGGCATCTATAGATAAAAATAACTAATTCTAAGGTAACTAAAACACAACTATTCCTATATTCATTAATGAAAACATACGTATGAATTCCTGCCAGTAGATCCTCCTGAATGCTACACACACTGGACCTATAAACAACGTAAAAACAAGTCTCACCATGCTTGGGTCTTAATGTAATTGCCAAAGTCAGACGTTTCTGGATTGCATTTAACAAATAGGTACATATGATTTTATATTATTCTGTCTTCAATTAATTGATAAGAAAAGAATTAAAAAATATAAAAAATCTCTCAGATGGGAACAGACTCGTTGGTTTGTTCCTGAATTACACATCACTAGTACAACACTACACATCTAAGAAAGTACCAGCAGATTTGCAAACCACCAACAACAATAAAGTAAAGCCTCTAGGCCTTTAAATAGATCACCAACAGACCCTTAACTTTTGACAGCTTTTCTGTTCCCACTGTAAGAACTAATAGAGATGTAATTTTTAATTCCATTAACCAGAGAGGGAAAATGGTTTCCTGTTACAGAGTATTTACATTTTTTACTTTATGTTTATGTTTGAGAGAAAATTTGTATTCCTATTTAGAAAGGAGATTAACGTCCATGTTTCCAATTGGCTGCAACCTGATTAAGACCCTGGAACATTTCATCTACCAGAGAGGTGTGTGTGTGTGTGTGTGTGTGTGTGTGTGTGTGTGTGTGTGTGTGTGTGTGTGTGTGTGTGTGTGGGTGTGTGTGTGGGGGTGTGTGGATGCTGCAGCGTCGGGGGAATGAGGCCGTATATCATACTGAGGTCCTGGCTGAATTTACATGTAAAGCATCAGTTTAGTGTCTGTGTCCACTGTTAACAGAACTGCTCTCTCCAGTTGTTGTTCAGTAACACACGAGCTGTTACAGAGAACCAGCAGTTATGTCTTACACAGATTTAGGAGGTCTAAATGACGCTGAGAAGAGGTGTCAGAGCACTTTAGTTTGTCAGTTCTTTAAATACAAGACTGCATGGCACCCGGCTCCACAGTGGAAGTGTTAGCACCAAAAAGAGGAACTACTTGAGTGTGGAAAGTGGTTTGTTTGCAAAAGATCAGATGTACAACAGACCACGGTAATGTGTAAGAAGTGCAAGAAGACTGTAACAACAGAAGGGAAAATACAACAAACTTATTTCACCACCACAAGAAGAAGCACTGAGGAGAGCTGAACAGAACTATTTCTCAGTGTTTTGTTATATCGTCGAGAGTATCATCACAGAAATACCCTGAAATACTGGGGTATTATTTTAGGGCCATATCACCCACCCCTAGTCAGAGTGCTCCTCTTGCTAAAAGTAATTTGACTTTTTATGAGGTAATATTGCTTCTAACTACGCTGACCAACAAAAAGCTTCAGTTTTTCTTCTTTCTCTTCTCTCTGTATTTTCTGTTTCACCCTTTTTAATGACCTCTGTACATGTTCAGAGGACATAGCCAGCAGCTACATATTGAATGTAGTATAAACAGAGACTGATGAGAATCCTGTCACACAGACAATGCTGTGTCAGTGTACAAACAAGCATTCAAAAAGTGCCACATGCTCGAGTACCAAAGGGAGTCTTACATATTTGGTCCACATGTGTTAAAAGGTTCGATCCCCCAAAACACACAAAACTATTTCTCACCTTCCCTTGTGGTGTCAGGCCGTGTATAGAGTTGTTTTTATCTGGCTCTGAAACGTCTAATGCAAGCCCAATATAATGGAGATAAATGGGACTTATTTGATCATACATAATGTCCTGGTTACTCTGGATAATCCATCTCACTGTCAACAGCTGTCCAATTATAACTTGACCATACCATGTGACTAATAATGCTCTGGTAACTGATAATGGTAGAAAACACAAGAGAGAAATCCTTTTTTAATGACCAAAGAGATTAACGTTTACCCTCAAACCGCCCTCCAAAATGGACCGACGAGGAAACACCTACACACACATACACCATATGTCTTTCAGATCTCTCTCACATACATTAACCATGCATGTCACACACACACACACAGACACGTATAGCCTCCCCTCGGGCAGTGATGGAGTGAGTATTTAACTCCCATCTTGATACATTAAGGGTGGCATCTCCTCTATAAGGACAAGCTGACATGATAAATGACTCCACACACGTTAACACAGGTCATCAGTCTTGTGTGTGTCAGAGGTATTCAGCTTTAAATGTGTGTGAGAAATATGTGTTTGTGGACATAATGTATGTGTGTTTGTACAGAGAATATCCAGTGATATAAGTTACACAATGCAAGCTGTGTGGGAGGCTGCATATTTGTGCATCTGGATGTTTTTTAATCTTTCAGCAATCTGTGTATGTGTTTGTCTTTCTTATATTCAGATTTTAGCATCATAACATTTCTCTTTTCAGTTAAGTTAATGATAATGTAAAAATAAATGTAAACGATTTCAATTCAAGTTAAATACAAGTTAAATAGTTCAAAGTCTTACTGAGCAAAGAATAATATTTATGAACACTAATGTGTAAGTAGTTGTAGACTGTGTTCATGCAGAGTAAGGCATTAATAAGTGCTTTATAATGACTAATAAAGAGTCAATATGCTACCAATATGCATGCTAATAAGCAACTAGTAAATGGTGAATATGTGTAACCTTAATAGGAAGTGTTACCCTCTTCTAAAAACGTTTAATTGTTTTTACACCGGTATTGTGGTCAGCAATAATAAATCATCAAAATTAAATACATAATACATAAATAGATAATAATGGGAGAGGCTTTAGTCTTTAAGTGAAAATCTATTCTTTTCAAGTTTGATGTGGTTCAGGATCTCCTTGAGCCTCTCGCACTGTTGTGGGAGAGAGGACGAGCGTGATTCCACCTCAATAAAATGAGGCGTCTAGCTAATAGAGTTGTAAATGCCAGAACACGCCCCTTTCATCAAAGGGAAATTGGATGTCGCAAGTGGTGGGACTCCAAATAAAGCCGTGAGAGGTTCAGGGTTGAGAGTTTGACAAGACCAAACATATGCGTATGGTTAGCAGGCGAATGTTTGCACCCACTGCAAATATCACTGGTATGTGGGTACATTTTTGTCAACTGGTTATTTGTATATGAAAAGAACTGCCAAAAGCCATGAATATTACACATAGAAGAAGAGTGGACTAGATTGAGTCATAACATTTCTCAGGTGTAATGTGGAACTAACTGTAAGATTTATGTGTCCATCCCGGTCCCAGGTGACATCCGTAACGACCTGTACCTGACCCTGGAGCGAGGGGACTTTGAGAGAGGAGGGAAGAGCGTTCAGAAGAACATTGAAGTCACTGTCTACGTGCTATATGCTGATGGAGAGATCCTAAAGGTACGGATGCAGTGCTGCCATATATAGAACCTCATTATAAACCCTCAGTACACTTCAAGCTTCACTGATTCATCTGGTCCAGTTCCTGTTCACATTTACAGAGGAGACATGAAGTTAAACATCAGTACCCATATGGGCAAATCTAATTCCAGTGACTGGTTAGGTCAGTTCTTGAAATAACTCACAAAGCATATGTCAGGAAACTCGAGGAATCATCAGTGGTGTCCGCTGCCATTTTAGCTTTCTGTCAGTGTTAAATCCATTACCTCGTTCCCATTTTGTAACAGTTACCAGCCAAACTATCTTCTCAGGGAGTGAAAATCATCTGTATAAGAGTTGTAATCTAATAACAACCTCTAATGAACCATTTACATACATATACAGAACATTAGTACATCGAGCATTCAGCTGATTTAATCATGCTCTGCAGTCAGTTGAAGGGAGTTTCCCGTCCTTACTGTTATGTCATAAGCAGCGCAGCCACATGGAGGACAGCCGTTCATTGCTACTGCCAACTTATTCCACAGTATCCACAAGCTGACAGGCAGTTACTAATTGACGTATCTTAAAATAAAGATTTGCCTGAAACATCATTTAATGACTTCCTTGACATAAACGATAATGATTACAGATGCATTTACTTGCTAAGTAGCATAAAACACCAGACAAGTCTTCTGCACCAAATCAAACTATTTGTATAAATTTATAACCAACCTCTTCTGTATTTTCCCATATAGACAATTTTCTCTTATTCAACTTGAAGAATCCCAGCTGCCTCTCTTTTTGGTGTTAATAAATTGTCCTTTAATTAAACAGTGCAAAATGTTATAGTGGCAGACATAAGATGAACATGTATTCCTATCAGAGACAGTTAATGTATGTGTGAAACAAACACTGTGTGATGAAGTTTTCCTCAGGGCTGGATGTTCACATCCCTCTCTCTGTGTGTCTCTCTGCCTCCCTCTGCAGGACTGCATCAGTCTGGGTTCAGGTGAGCCCAGCGTGCCGGAGCACCGCTCCTTCGTGCTCTACCATAACAACAGCCCTCGATGGAGTGAAGTGATCAAACTGCCGATTCCCATCGACCGCTTCAGAGGGTCCCACCTACGCTTCGAGTTCAGACACTGCTCCAGTGAGTAACTCTCTGTTATTAGTAGTGTTTGTGGGTATGCTGGAGTTTAATGAAAACTTTTGTTACTCAGAGTTGGCCAATACATGAATTATGTCAGTGGTGTCAGTGCTATGTCATTAGATTAACAGTGTGAGATTGATGCACTTCTTTGCTTGACTTGAAATTACTACTCATTATTCAGCTACTCATTGAAGCAGGACTTACGAATTACATCTGTGCAGAGACATAAACAATATGTTCCTGAAGTAGTTTTATTTATGTTAACTGCAGTACAAGGTCAACCAAATAGCTGATATGTTTGTTATCATTCATCTGATTTCCTGTTGTTTCCATCTGCTTACATGTCCAAAATTCACACCTTATTTACCAAGTCATGCAAAGGAAACAAAAAGTCAGGGTAACCTCACTCTAAACTTCTTCTGTGTATCTTTCACTCTGATTGTGTGTCTTTGTCTCTCTCACTCTTGTTTGCACTCTACAGCAAAGGACAAAGGAGAGAAGAAGCTTTTTGGTTTCGCTTTCACTCCTCTGATGAGGGAGGATGGAACCACTCTCTCAGACGAGAGCCATGAACTCTATGTTTACAAGGTGAGGCATGATTGTTGCTTTCCTGCAGGAAGTACAGGAAGAGCAGGAACTATAGGAAGGGAGTGAACTGACTCAAAGACACACATCTTTATGTCTGTTTACTCACTTCCTGTTGTCTTGCTACTGATCGCAGACAAAGTGACTCACCCCCTTTCGTCCTAGCAGAAGATAGATGGATTTTTACGGTTGTCAGCAATGTTTAAAAGCCACATTTCTTCCTGATATTTATTTTCCTCCTCTTGACCTCAGTGTGATGAGAACACAACCTTCAGTAACCATGCCCTCTACCTGGGCCTGCCCTGCTGTAAGGAAGACTTCAACAGCTGTCCCAGCATCCCATCCAGCCTCATCTTCCAGCGCAGCACCAAGGAGACGTTCTGGATCTCCACACAGCTCTCCTCCACGAAGCTCACTCAGAACGGTACTCCACTGATTATTTTTCTCTCTCCAGAGACTGCCAGTGTGAAAAGACTTAAAGCCTGATGTTTATTCAGGGGTGGATGCATGCAGAGCACTCATGGATAATGTAAATGCTCAAATATGCATCTTGGATAACAGTGGAGTTATTGTCATGGTTGCTATGGCGAAGCTACAATACTTTACATTTCAAACACCAGCAATAAGGACAAGAAAAGCCTACATATGTCCCATTGTTCAGCTAAGAAGCGAGTAAAGATCTAGCTCTGTTAAAGCCAATGATTCTGTCTCCACTTATATATTCACCATGTCATGCCACATTTTAGCTTGTGTCTTTGCTGGTAGTTGACATTGTTGCTGTCTTCCAGTGGACCTCCTGGCCCTGCTTAAGTGGAAAGCCCATCCGGACCGGGTCATGGACATTCTCGGTCGGCTACGGCACGTCAGTGGAGAGGAGATAGTAAAGGTGAGGTTTAGTCAGAAGAATAAGTATTCTGTAACAAATAACTAATACATGTGAGATATTTCATTTGAAATATGACAGAAGAAAGCGAGTTTTCTGGGGTTTTTTTTGTCGTTTCTGAATCATTTGCATTTTTGTACAAATAAGCAGCCACTTTTATTAATGTGCATTACATGATGTGCACAGCATTTAGCTGAACTCTTATTTAGACAAATCAGCTAGAAAAGGCAGCAGGCGTCCAGTGTCTCAGACAAAGGAGAGGACGTTGAGTTTGTATCATGTTGGTAGCCACCCCTAAAACTGAATATGCCGTGAGTTCAAGTAAAACTAAACTAGACCTACGTCTGTCAACACCACAGTGTAAACCGGAAGCCGCTTACAGGATTGTTTGTCATTCCTTTCTTCTAAGCTTATCTTTATCAGTCATACCTGAATCAACAGTACATAAATGTAATCTCTGAGTGTGTGTGTGTGTGTGTGTGTGTGTGTGTGTGTGTGTGTGTGTGTGTGTGTGTGTGTGTCTGTTTGTCTGTGTGTCTGTGGGTTTGACAGTTTCTCCAAGACATTCTGGACACATTATTCTCCATCTTGGATGACAACACTGACAAATATGGACCGCTGGTGTTCCAGTCATTGGTAAGTATGTGCAAAAAAAACATAAAGAAAGAAGGGAAGCTGAATACTGGTATTCATAGTTCTGTACTTTCTGGGGGCCTGAATAATAATAAAAAAAGTACTACAGAAAACAAAAAGTTGAGTTGCTGTTAAAGTCTCTCCAGTAACAGACATGACAAACTGCAGCATATTGGAAACTTTGCCTCAAGGAAACATCACACTTCAAAATCATGATCTGGCTCATTATGGGTAAATCTGACTGATGGATTGGTGGTTAACCCACTGTACGTAAGTAGGTACAGACATACAATCTGATCAAGGCTATCAAAATTTCATGTTTATGTACAATGTGTGCCATTCATGTATTATTATTTTACAGTTTTTAACAAGAAGCCAATAAGAGTTCACAGTTCATTCAGGTAACAAAGGCTGCACCGAGGCACCAACACTGGAGAGAGAAACTTCCCTACAGACAATAGACTACAGATTAGATACAGGGGGTTTGTTATTTTTACACTTTATTGTGTAAAGAAAAAAAATAGTATCAGCTCGCGACTCAGTATGAATTGACTCGGATCAGACTGGGGGCTAAAAAAACTTGATCTCTGGCTTTTTGCAAACAAAAAGTGTCAATATGGCCAGAGACTTTCAGTTGTGAAAATGTAACTTTGGACAAATGTGTTAAAGCAAGTGAGAGACACTGTAACAGCTCTCTCTCTCTTTCTCTCTCTCTCTGATTGTCTCTTTCTGTCTCTCTCTCTCTCTCTCTGTGTTTCTCAGGTGTTTATTATAAACCTACTCAGGGACAGTAAATATTACCACTTCAGGCCGGTGATGGACACATACATCCAGAAGCACTTTGCAGGAGCGTTGGCTTATAAGTGAGTTTTTAACTCTGACTGACTGATTCCCTGAGTGTAACCTTACAGGCTGGTTTACTCGTCAATGCACAGACAGACTAGACTCTTATATGCTCTCTTTAAAAGGTATGCAAGTGTGTGTGTGTGTGTGTGTGTGTGTGTGGTCCAGATATTGTGCTCTATGTCTTGTGTAAAAGGAAAACCCTGCTGTGTGGCTCAGATGCTCAAATGTCATAATCGAGCACTGTTTACTGTTGCGTTTCAGAGAGCTGATCCGCTGTCTGAAGTGGTACATGGACCGCTCTGCAGAGGTGGTCAGACAGGACCACATACAGGAAGCAATGAGGGTAAGAACCACTGACTGACACTGTGTGTCCAAACAAACCTCCTCAAAGCAGCTTGTGACTCGTCTAAAGAGTGTTTGAATATTTTAAACAACAGCATCAACAGGAGCTGTTCCCACTCAAGGCTGCTGGTTAAAACATGCTGTGTGTACATAACTAACTATACCACTTTTGTTTAATACTTACATCTATATTGCACTTTACTTTATACAACCTCAGGCTGCCAAGAAACTACATATGAGATCAGTTAGTCAAGTCAGTGGCATTGTTACTGTTTGTATTTTGCTTTTTATGCAGTTCACTTTATGCAAATATGGAGCTTCCAGCATTACTTTATATTATTGGTTCCCAACCAGAAGGTCCTGACCCAAACCAGGTGTCATCAAAGCTTAATGGAAGGTTGCGAGGCTTTCTTGATTTTAAGTGTTAGAGAACTATTTTTAAAATAAAGAAAAGAGCAAATAGAACAATGAGAAGAAAAAAAGAATAATCAATATGATTGTTAAAAAATGTATTAAAATGACAGATAACTGTACGAAAAGTGGCTGAAAATATCAGGAAAACTCATCTCTGATCGATGTTCATGCGAATCCCCTCATTTTACACAAACTGCCTGCCGTTATTGTTATATAGAATTTGAAATACCTATAAAATATGTCACTGGAAAAGGGCTCCATTAAGGAAAAAGGTTGGGAACCATTGGTTTATATGGTTCATTTAGTAAAGAAGCATGAATTTGCAATAGCTGCGACCACCTACAGACAAACCACATATTCATCCATTCAAACATGCACACTTGACCTCCACTCCTAGGGCACAAACTGTGGCTGCCAAAGGGTGGGAAAATATTTATGGTCCTAGCAACTCCTCGACAGAGCAAGCAAGAGAGTAGAGACATGAAAAGAAGCAAACGGCAAACACCTGACCTCCACTTGCTGAATAAAACACTGGTTAGCTCTGCTAGAAAGTTGTTTTTAATTCCCTTTGGCTTTCACAAACAAGAAGATGCAGAGATTTTAGTTGTTATTCTGATCGTAATCTCTTAAATTATTTATCTGAACTGTTTTATGTAAAAGTCCTGAATCAAAATTGATCAACATTTTTACACTTTAATTCCTCCCACGGCATGTCCTTGCTCAGTCTACCAACAAAAAGCTGACCAGCATGTATTCACCATTGCATCAGTGTTCTAGGTAGAGCTGAGAATAGACGCACCATCTCAGGCAGATGTACAGAATGTTCCACATTTAGCCAACAAATGCTGCTCAGCACGTTAAAATATTCATCAGACTCAAACATCCGTCTCAAATGGATCACACTGTCATGTGAAAGTGGACGGTGTGAATTATTGAGGATAGTTTTGACACATGCTGCAGCTGCGGGTTCAGATCAGAGTTTTTTTTTTCATTCATCTTCTACAAGCCTGTCTGTGGTCACGTCCGCAAGTCCATTTGTTTTAGTCTGTATCTGTCAGTCTAAAAACGATGAACTTGTTCACCCTTTTGGGAAGTGAAGGACCATGTCTCTTCTTATCCTGTGAAACACTACACAAATATCTACTGTGTCTAAAGGCATATTAAACTGTTTTCAGATAGCTTAACTTCACCCTTTATAATTGATCTCTCTGAGGATCTATTGGCAGAAATGGAATTTATTATGCATAGGTATGTTTTCATTAGTGTATAATCACCTGAAAATATAAATATATATAAATATACATACTGTAGTTTCTCCCACATGCTTGGAGCTGAAGGGTGAATCGAGGGGGTTTTAATCTACAACTACACTGATAGATGCTATTAAATCTTACACACTAAGTATTTCTACACACATTATCCAGCATATCTAAAACTCATGCAGCAGCGCAGTTGCTTTTATTGACAGTCGATAGCGATTTGAGGTCGGATGCTATCCCCCTTATTAACCTGCCACCCCCTCCTCTCTATCCCCCAGTAGTAAAGAGAGAGCAAGGGCAGAGTGGTTGTTCAGTTCAATATGTTAGTCTAGTCTGCCTGACTTATTGATCCTTTATCTGACTGAGGTTTGTTAGAATCTATGGCCCCGAACTCTGCTCTAAAAGCCTGAAATTCTCGGCGCTGTCCGTGGTGCTGAAGTAGCAGACTGATGTGTAATTGCACCTTCTTCTCTCAGTCCCACCCTTCTGTCGGTTTTGTCTTGGATCTATAATATTCTCTAAACTTAATACTCAATTCTATAATATTGTAGCCTATATACTGTTAAATATGAACAAATCACCAACTGCTGACAGCCATGAGTAAGTTACAAAAACAGTTAGATTCCAAAATTTTATTTATTGGGTATACATTCAATTGTTCAGTTAAATTTTGTGTCTTTCTGGAATGAAATGATACAAGAAATACTGAAGTTGGGGTTGTAAATAAAATATTGCTACTGTATGTTATATTGTTTCCATTTTCCATCTCTGACTCTGTCTCCTGTTTCTTTCTTTCTCTGTTTCTCGAACACAAACAAACGTGGACCATCAGGCTCTGGAGTATCTGTTCAAGTTCATCGTCCAGTCTCGGATCCTCTACTCTCGGGCCACTTGCGGTATGGAGGAGGAGCAGTTTCGCACCAGCATCCAGGAACTCTTTCAGTCCATCCGCTTCGTCCTCAGCCTGGACAGCCGCAACTCAGAGACCCTCATCTTCACACAGGTGAACACACACACCAACAGATTCTACAGATTCTTCCAAATGTTTTGTTTTTAGGTATTATCTTTAATTGTATTTTCTTAAAGAAGCAAGGTGATCGATTATTGATGTTCTTTCCTTGTTTAAATGATCACATTTTTCCACAGCTGAAATGTAACTGCAACTAGTGTCTTTGTAGAGACTTTAAACAGCTAATCCCATCATTTGATTATATTTGCTTCTAGTTTATCTTGTTTCCCGTCTCCTTGTAGCTGCTTTAATCTGACTCTGATGTACCTCTTTCTACTTGTACCTCGGACCTTTCCTTGCTTCCTTCCCTCACCGTCTCTTTCAATCTCCCACAATTCTTTGTTCCATCCTTCGGGTCCCTATTGTTTCTCCTGGACCTCCTCCCTCCACACCCATACACCACAGGGCCCTCAGCCTTGTCCAGGCCCAAATCAAGCCCCAGGCCCCGGCGTTGCTTCCTTAGCACTAGCCCCTGCCCCGGGCCAAGCCCAGCCCCCTGCCCCAGGACAGGCTCCTGGCGGCGGGCAAGCCAACTGCACTCAGGCCTGGAGCTCCAACGCTCTGCGGCCATCTCCGCTGTCAGTAAGTAGACGTCTGGATGAAAACCACACCACCCTGTTCCTTGTGTGAAGCCCAGAGTCCTAATTCACGTATTCAGCCGTTTGTGAGCCTAACCTCACACACACTCCTGTCATCCTCCACGTCCTGTCTGCTCACACACACACACACACACACACACACACACACACACACACACACACACACACACACAAACACACCTCACGTGTCCTGCACTGACTGCTTAGTCACACCTTGTTCTACAAGCTAAATGCATATCATTGTCCTCTAACTGTGAACACACATCGGATTCAGTCATTTCCTCCCCCAAAAAATATGTATTTACAGTTACAAGTCACATCTCTCAGCTTCTAGACTCACATCAAACCCTGAAGACCCTGCAACAAAGAAATAACAGAAATAACTTCTTCCTCTCTCTCTGTGTGAGGCAGGGAGCCACTAAAACCTGATAAGTCTGCTATATCATCAAAATCCTGTGCTGTATATCAGTCATGGACCAGGACAAGAATCCTAACAGTTGAAAACTCAGCAGATTATTCAATATTGGTTATTTTCAGTAGCACTTTAATCCAAATGCGGGTATTGTCAACAGAAAGATAGGCAAGCATATATCTTATAGCTGAAACATGATATTTGCTCATGCAGTGCACTTTTTGTGATGTGTTTGTGCTGAAACTTGATTCATTTTGCCCTTGAAAGTCACTTTCAGTAAATCTGAATCTGTGTTCAATCACCACTAGAGTTGTTCCTATATCAGTATTTTCAGTAATATTAGTAATTCTTCTGATACGGACTGAAATGCAGAATCAGGTACCAGAGAGTACTCGTGTCGCGCACTGATCCAATATCAGTTCATTTATTAGCCTTGAAACAGCAGGGTCCAATTCATCATTTTCTTCCCCAGTATAGTGAAGTCAGAGAGCTGAAACCATTTTTATCAAGCACTAAAATCCCCAAATCTTATCATCCCCCCGTCCGTATTGTGCTGTGTCACACTGACTGCTGGAGGTGCTCCTCTCTCATCAGATCTGTTGCTGTGCTGTGAGTTTTTAATTGGTTACGGATCAATATCTCTCACTTTTCTCTGACAGTTTTTGTCCTTTTTCTCTTTAACTTTTTTCTTTTTCATAATCTTTCCCCTTTAATCTTGCTGTGATGTTTTATCTGCTAATGAATTAATTCACTTGAGTTTTCCCTCGTTCAAACTCCTGTTTGTCTTTCAAATGTCTCAACTGGTGAACAGCTGTATTGCAAAATGCAGAACTTAAATTTGAGAACAAAACTGACTTCTATATATGACTATATGACAAAAGGGAGCCCCAACATACTGTTAATTAGAATGTGTTGTTGCTCTGTGATCTGTTAAAACCTACATGGAGTCAAATCTTTACTCAGTGGCCATTTTGGAATTCAGCTTTTCACTGTGTTCACTATAACTCACCTCTGCCCTCCTCTGTTGTATTACAGAAGTCACAGTCACATTTCTGTCCACTGCAAACACAGAAGCTAACATTATTAACCTTGCAACCCACTCTCTCTCTTTCTCTTTAACTTTCTTTTCTCCAACTTCCACTCCTGCCGTCCTCTCACCTCGTCACTCACCCTCTCCTCTTCTCGTCTTCCTCAGGCCGCTCTGTTGAACTCGTTCCCAGCGATCTTTGACGAGCTGCTGCAGATGTTTACGGTGCAGGAAGTGGCTGAGTTTGTGCGCGGCACTCTGGGCAGCATGCCGTCCACGGTGCACATAGGACAGTCCATGGACGTGGTCAAACTGCAGTCCATAGCCCGGACAGTGGACAGCAGGCTCTTCTCTTTCCCAGGTACACAAACACATCTTATTGTGTTTCCTCTGATTTATACTCCTCAATGATATGTAAGAGTGCTACATATGTTTTATAAATACATGTGTTTAATAAAGACTTCAGTCTTTAAATGCAGTCATCAAAATATATTAAGTTCTACAGCCCAGTCCTGCAAAAGACTGTTAACTCATAAAAACATAAATAATAGTACAAAAAGTTTTCTTTCGTGAATGTTTTTCTTTTCTGTGATTTTTCTAAATTACAGCCTTTTCAGAGCTCATGTTCTGGAATAACTATGCATATAAATGTCGGTGTGTGTCCTCAGAGTCTCGAAGGATCCTGCTTCCTGTGGTCCTTCATCACATCCATCTCCATCTGAGGCAGCAGAAAGAGCTGCTCATCTGCTCTGGAATACTCAGCTCTATATTCTCTATTATCAAGAGCAGCTCACTGGTAACACACACACACACACACACACACACACACACACACACACACACACACACACACACACACACACACACACAAATATACAGTATGTAGAAATAAAACAATGTCCTGTTGGGATTCTCACTTGGCTTTTAAGCTGCATTGGATTCACATACAATCTAAAGTGCCCTCTAGAGGATGTTATGTCTGTTGCACCCCATACATTTCTTGTTAGTCCTGACTTTAGTATTCTTACTGTACTTGGTCAGATGGGTTCTTCCTCTGTAGAGCTTAAATGTCGTGGAAATCATTCTGTTTTCTGCTAGCGAAAAATCTCGATGCAAAGGTCAAAATCAGAAACCTCAAACATAGAAACTTCCATCAAATAGCAACTGTGTGACATTTAAAAGTAGGAAATGTATTTCTCCCCAATATATCTGATCTTCGTGAATACTGTGACACACTCTGAAATATAAAGAAAGCAAGTTTCACTGGAGTTCCTTGTTTACTTCTTCTTTTCTTCACTTCCTCCTTCCATTTCTCCTTTCTGCTTTCCACCATCCAACGTCTCACCACTCCTTTCCGTACCCTTCCTTTCGCTCCCCTTCTCCTCTCAACCCTCCCTCCAGGACACGTCCGTGCAGGAGGAGGTGGAGATGATGGTAGAGTCCCTGTTGGATGTCCTCCTGCAGACGCTGCTGTCAATCATGAGCAAGAGCCAATCGCAGGAGGCGGTAAGGGGTCAACGCTGTCCGCAGTGCACCGCGGAGATCACTGTTAGTAACTAACAATACGACTACTTCAACTTCACCTCCCACTACCTTCATCCATCCTGTATCTATGTGCCTCTCCATCCGTCCTAGGGCTGGGCAATATTTTAATACCAATATCTTTTTAATGTGCCTTTATATTATCGTAATGTTACAAAATCCATCTCACATTTAAAGGTCCAGTGTGCAACATTTAGGAGAATCTGTTGGCAGAAATATTCGAAGATATCTTTTTATTAGTGTATAATTACCTTAGAATGAGCTGTTTTTATTTACAGAGGGAGTGGGTCTTCTTCTAGTCCATGTCATCTAACAGCCATGTTTCTACAGTAGCCCAGAACGGACAAACCAAACACTGGCTCTAGATAGGACCTTTTGAGTTTTTCCACTGTACTTTGTTCTATACACTTGGAAGTTGGTTGCAATCTGCAACTTCACCACCAGATGCCACTAAATCCTTCACACTGGTACTTAAAATGTCAATAACTGCAATGTTCACAAATTCTGCCACAATGTGAGGTGTGAAATAACTGATGATGATAATGATGAATTTGTTTCATTAAAAAAGTAGAATCATTTGACTCATTGGGATCAGGGTGGCATTCTATATAGTAAATTGGAGATGTTCCCATATCATTATCTGATATTCCTCCACTACTGACTGCCTAAAATGTGGTTTCGGGTACCACAAGTACACTCGGGATCTGATACCACGTTATTTATGAGCCTTAAAATGGAACTCTGCTACCTCCCAGCAGTGTCTACTCTGACTCTGAGAGAGGGTTTACCCTGAGCCAGGCCATGCAACTGATAAAACAATAATAAAAATAATAATATTACAGTATAAATATCTATTTTTTAACGCACACGTATCAGAATCGTTATTGGGAAGGCAAAACTATTTTATTTTATAATTTTATTTCAGACACATAGGTAGAATTAATTAATTAATTAATATAAAAACCACAAAATACAATACATGGACATCTCATTCAACTCCAAAGGGATTAAAACACATATAGACATTTGTTCCAATGTTTCCAAAGACAAAAGGAGAACCATCTGTCACTCTGTGTACACTCCGTTAAGGCCGTTATGATTGCATTTGTTGACTCAATTAACCGACACATACATTGTGCAAAACGTTCCTCAGCACAGCATGAAAGGCAGGTACATTATTAGTCACAAACATATGACTTGCACCTCTAAAGATTCTAAATTAATCATTATTTAAAATAATTTCCCCCTGGGATTGTTAAAGTATTTCTGATTCGGATTCTGATTCTGATTTGCCACCTGAAGCTTTTCCATTTTTTCCTTACTATAATTGCACCACTGGTGGGCAGTATAGAGCAGAGTACAGTCGGCTCTAAAAAGGGCTGTTTTGACTTTGTCTGTTCATATGAAATTTGCGTGCCGACATACTGGCTTATGGATACAATTTTCAATACTGCCACTGTACATTGTCAACATCACATAAATAATTCCTGATGATGTGACCCAAATAGCTCACTTTGTTCACCACATTCAACACAAGGTCTGCCATAAAGAATGAAGGAACACTTTGCTTATGATCCTCCTTGGTTTTGGCAATCAGGACAACCCTCTTTTTAGAGTTAAATTTAATGTCATACTGAACACCACAACTTCTAATACTCTAAGCAGTTGCTGTAAGCCGCACTGGAAGGAGACAGGGCGACTATATCGTCAGCGTACATCAGATGGTTAATGATACGATCTCCCATCATACATCCAGTCTTACACTCTTTTAGCTTTTTAGAAAGATTGTCCATAGACAGACTGAATATATAACTTGTCAAGTTTAATAATCACAATATTAATTTAGTCCATATTGCCCTCCCCTAATTCATCCATTCATCTGTCACTGACCCATCTGTCCACCAGCACATCTTTTGTTACCTCCCCAATTAAACACCACTCTGCCTCATCTTCTTCCTTCTCCTCATCCTCCTCTCTTTTTACATGCTTGCTCCTGCTTCCTTGTATCTGATCTTTGTTATATTTAGTGTATTTAGTAAGAGTTTGTGTCATGGAAATGAGGAGTATTTTACTACTTGTGTGATTTATGAGTCAGCTATAGTTCTTTCTCTCAGCATAGACAGCGGTTTCATATTGTAATACCATAGGTTTTAGCGATTGATTGTTACATGACTGTCCACCACTCCTCATTTACATTTCACTGTATCTTTGGCTCAATCTCAGTCTAGCCTCTACTCGCCCTATCCACTATACCGGCATTTACACAGTGGCACGGAGGGTTTGCCTTGTTATGGGCTTTATGAAGGGTGCTACATTGAGTGGAAATAAATACATCCACCATAGTCTTCACTTTCTTCACTACTACTACTTCTACTTCATTACCACTAGTTGGAAACGTGAGCGCCACATAATGAAGCAAAGATCATACATTTATGTTCCAGTCACTACTTTGTTATGCACATCAATCTATAGCTTTATTTTATTTTCTAAATATATTTGTTTTGTCTTTCACCCAGATATACATGCATCAGATAGAAGAAGAATTACCATTATAGCGTATGCTGATTGTTTTTTTTGTGCCCTCCACAGCCACAAGTGTGCTTTCACTCCGTAGTGAAAGGTAGCTGGTAGGGGTCAGTTTGGGAAGGAGCCTTTTTTATCCTGTTGTCATCATCTCTGATTGTTCACTTACTGCTAACTGCTCATGTGATCGGCTCACATGCTGTCCCCCGGTTTCCTATTGGCAGGGAGAGTATGTGTCCTGCCTCCTGTCCCTCCTCCGCCAGATGACAGATATCCACTTCCAGCACCTGATGGAAAACTTTCAGAGCAAGGAGGAGCTCAAGGTACAGGAAACTGATTACACACTACAGTCACTGACATCCAGGCTAAGGTTGGGTCACCTGCTGCCTTTGTATCTGGTTATACAAAGACAGGTCTAATAGTGCAATTGTGTGTAGTGTATTACACAAGACATACTATAGGTGAATACAATTTACGGAAAAATTCCAAATAAAAAAATGTGAGGTGAAACAACTTTCAGTTTTGAACCAATTAGGTATTTCATCATCCTCATCTCTCAATTTCTCTCTTCAGGAATTCTTGTTGAAGATTTTGTGTGTGTTCAGAAATCTGATGAAGCTCAGTATTTTCCCCCGCGACTGGAACATCATGAGGCTCCTCACCAGCAAGTAAGACTTACACACATCCGACAGTGTTTGCGTGCATCACCGACTCAAACCGGATTGAATAACGCATTGCTTATTGTTTGTGTGTGCAGCATCATCTTGACCACAGCTCAGTACCTTTCTCCTGCTCTGCACAAGAACTTCACAGAGGCAGAATTTGACTTTAAGGTACGTGACTTGACCCACATCAACCACAAACCAGTTGAACTGTGCTGTGTATAAAAATCACCGCCAGTTTCTGAAGTTTCTCTGTTCATTGAGCTATCAAAGAGGACTTTTCTGTGTCATCCTCTCTTCACGTCTAACAGAAATTAATCTGCTATTGTTTCTTTAACATGATTCACTTTGAACATGAATGTAATGTTGAATATTTTACATCACTGCTCTGTATTCACTTTCTGTGACAAAAAGGCTCAAAGCATATCATCACTCTGAACCATATAACACTGATCAAATAGCAGAGGATTTATTGAGACTGAAAGCCGTTTGAACCGCAGTCAGAGGAGGCCGCAGGCTGCAGGCAGTCACACAGCAACTGGAGGAGCAGGACCTGTCAGTGTCTTTAATAATAGTGCAATGATAGTGAAGAAACATTAAATATCAGGGGGCTCGAGGTTCTTCATTTCCGAACAGAAGAGTTAAAACAGTGAATCATCATTAATGAGTAGAGCTCTAAAGTTCTGTGTAACATTTACCTTCACACACTATTAATATAAGCTGTGTGCAGAGATTAATGTGTAAAGAAAACACACTGGGAAAGGACACACTGAGGGGACTCGCCTTCCTTTTGGGGACAAAATCCAAGTTCCCATAATGTAAATACTGTTTTGGGTGAAGATTTGGTTTAAGTTAAAGGTCCAGTGTGTAACATAGGAGGCTCTATTGTCAGAAATGGAATATAATATTCATAGGTATGTTTTCATTAGTGTGTTTGTTATCTAACACGTTAGATTGCAGTTTCTCCCTGGCAGTAGGAAAGGGGGGATGAAGCAAGTGAGTTACAGTCTGCAACTGCTCTGCTAGATTTCACTAAATCCTACACACTGGTCCTTTAAAAGATATCCAATGTATAAGGTTAGGACAAGGTAAGACTCCAGGAAATTAATGTAAGTCAATGTATTGTCTCTAAAGTGATGGAAACACGACTCTTTCCCGGTGCCGAGTCCCAAAGTAGAAACAACTGATTTTGGGCTCTGTGGTTAAGGTTAGTGTAAGGGTAAGAGTAAGGGTTAGGGGCTGGGGGTTAGGGCTATGGTTAGGGATGGTTAGTTGGTTGGTTAGTTTGTTTAGTGGTAAGTCTATATAATGTAAAGTGATATAAGTGTGTCTATGTGTGCGTGTAAGCAGGTGTGGAACTCTTACTTCAGTCTGGCGGTGCTGTACATCAACCAACCCAGTTTACAGCTGGAAAACCTGAGTGCTGCTAAGAGGAAGAAGGTCTTAGACAAGTAAGAACACACACACACACACACACACACACACACACACACAAACACACATAAACAGGGAGTTACAAACATATGGGAATAGCAGAAACTACACAGTATCTGAGTCGTTCTCAGATGTGTATCAGTTTGGGGTCCTTGACAGCAAAAATGTTGAGAACCATCAATGTAGACAACACACATCCATACAGACTCCAGCATCATTCCAACAATCGTCCTCAAACTCGTGCGTCATCTTCAGCTAAAGTGCTGAGAGTCAGAAGTTAAAAGAACACATTTTCCCCTTTGAAGTGAATCAGCACTACAAACTTGGCGACCTACTTTACCAATCCTGCAGGAACACTTCTTTACTCCAGGAAAGCTCATTTCCCTCTCTGTTAGGTGGTTTCCACCAGATAGTCCCAGGAACCAGGACACCCCAGACACTAAACCTCCTCAGGCACTAAGAGCTCATCCTGTTGCTATTGAGTCTCCACAGTTTAAGAATTGGGCAAATTACAGCTTGGGTTGAGACTGTGATGTCTGAAAAAGAAACATTAAAAACACAATGTAGTATGAATATTATATATATTATATTATAAATTGTATACTATTTTTCTGCTTTGGTATAAAATCAAATTGTAGGGCTTTAGTCAAACAAAGAAAATGAATCGACTTCAGCTCTTCAACAAATTGACTGGTCGGAAAAACAAATCTGCAGGTTATTTCTAGGTTAATTTATCACTGAGTGCACTCTACTGTTAGCTGCTGGATGCTAATCAGATTTACACAACATTGCCAAGATGAATTCCTGCAGTTTGATCCTTTCTTTTTCACACATGGCTCTATTGTTACCATCAGGACATGTGTATGAAGTATATTTACTTACAGCAGCAACATGGAGTAAACAGGGCTTCTGTACAACAACAAAGCTGATGCTGTGTAAAGCCCTGCAGCTCCAGAAAAAGCATCCAACCTACTACTGTTGTTAGTAGGGTGGCTTCAAATGCAATTTTAAGTTGCGGACTGTCTACTTACAGTAAAAGACTGCACTGTGATGCAGTTAGCATCAGTAGCTTTGAGGTTTGGACTTACTACTTTATCCGTCTGCAGGTACGGAGACATGAGAGTGATGATGACCTACGAACTGTTCAGTATGTGGCAGAACCTCGGTAAGTTTTTCTCTACACCTCTCCAAATATGTACCACCAGGTGCCGGTAATGCATCCATATGCTGGTTTTCTCAACTGCCAATAAATGTTTTGTTTAGTTTACACTCTGAGCTACACATGAGCTACAAAGGGTTTCCACTCCAAAGTCTGCTAAATAAAATCATTTATTTGCACACAGAAAACCTGATTTATTGGCTGGTTGACTAAAGATGAAATGTTAAATATCTGCTGGTTGTAGGTGAGAATAAGATCCATTTCATCCCCGGTATGATCGGCCCGTTCCTGGGAGTGACGCTGGTTCCTCAGGTGGAAGTACGAAACATCATGATCCCCATCTTCCACGACATGATGGACTGGGAGCAACGCAAGAACGGAAACTTCAAACAGGTACACAGACACACACATGTACAGACACACATTTACTATGATCCCCAGTACTTGGGTTACGGGGTTAAGGAACTTGGGATCCTGGGAATATAGATATGCTCCCTACAAACATCAATCTTTCACACGTCCAACTGTAGACAAAAGCTACTTAATAAACAGTTCTGGTCACTTATGTAAGACCCCAGTAATTATTTATTTCTCTTTGTATGCGTGTACAGGTGGAAGCTGAGCTGATTGACAAGCTGGACAGTTTGGTTTCTGAGGGGAAAGGTGACGAGAACTACAGAGAACTCTTCGGTTTGCTGTAAGGAACATATTCCTTCACAAATTCGCCCTCTGTTTGCCTCTAACTCTAACTCCTGTCTCTCTCTCAGTTTTTAAACCAGTGTGTATCCTTCTGTCCTGTCTCTTTCTCTGGTAACAGAAATTAACTCTCAGTTTTTCTGCTCTAACACTGCTGTTTGCTTTGCTCTGTGCTGCGGGACTAGAACCCAGCTGTTTGGGCCCTACCCCAGGTATGACATCACCTACACATTAAGAGCATATGACGGCTCTGATATTTGCTTTCTAATATGATATAATTATTATCTGTCACCATGATGGTGAATACTGTCCTAAAGAGCTGCAACAGACCACACGGGAACACAATTTCAGGTTTACTGTGCCATCCTTGACAGTGTCTGAAGAGTTTCTTTTGAATGTAAACACTCAACCAACAGAAGACATTTTCATCAATCTGGGCAGTCCAACCAAACTCCCTTTACACATTGTAGTGTTATTGTGCATTTCAGAATTAAAGTCAAACTTTTGAGAATAAATTAGACTACAAAACTGCCTCTATAAAGTGCCTTTAGTTGGTTAAATTGTAGGCCAACTTCAGAACTGCTTTTAGTAAAAAGGAAATTATTTCTCTATCTATAAACACAGGGTGGTAATATAGTATTTGGTATTTAATTTACGTGCATTCCTCTTGTTAGAATAAATTAAGCATATTTTAGTTAACAGAATATTTTTAAGAATACAGTGAAACCAAAGTTGAACCTTTCTATCTTTTGAGGTAACCAACCAAAGAAAAATGTAAACCACCTTCTAAAATTCTCAAATTCTGGTCTGGTAATGCAAAGGTTGCAGGGTTGTTGCATTCGTTCAGACACCGAATGAAATCTTTGGTTTGTCACCAGTTTGTAAATACTGTACGTCATCTAATCTGTGTTTTTTCCTCGAAGTCTGTTGGAGAAGATCGAGCAGGAGACGTGGAGAGAGACGGGGATCTCCTTTGTTACCTCGGTCACTCGGCTGATGGAACGACTGCTGGACTACCGGTAACATCCGGGACCTTCTTACACACATACATAACATATAAATGTGCTTTTGTATTTGTATTAAATTGGTACTCCTTGTAGTGCATACGTTTGAAATGGAGAGAAATGAAGAGGCACTAAAACTCCACCCAGCACTGTATTAGACACCAGTTTAAGCTTTTTATTGGAAACTTGTTTATTAAATTGGTCTGTCTTCTCTTTAGGGACTGCATGAAGGGAGACGAGACAGAGAACAAGAAGATTGGCTGCACTGTTAACCTCCTGGTAAGATTTTTGTCATATTGATTCTTATTCACTGGCCTATTGATTTTACCAGTTAATTAAGTTACTTAACAGTTTACCGTAACAACTGCAAACCTTTAGTATTTAGTATCACAAATTAAACATAGTTTAATAACTATTGTAGGTTTGGTTCAAAAGTAACACCTGCTGAAGATTTGAGACTTTGAGAAGTTTTATATGTGTAAGCAAGAGAATAACAATGTGTGTGGTTTTTTTGTATTTTCTCAGAATTTCTACAAGTCAGAGATCAACAAGGAGGAGATGTACATCCGCTACATCCACAAACTGTGTGATATGCATCTGCAGGCTGAGAACTACACTGGTACAGCATAAACACACAAACACACACACACATGCATGCACGCTGTGTGCAAGATGTGTGACCTGCTGTACTTGGCTTGTACGTCCACAGAGGCTGCGTTCACTCTGCTGTTATACTGGGAGCTGCTGCACTGGGATGAGCGGCCTCTGAAAGAGTTCCTGCATTATCCTGCTCAGACCGAGTGGCATCGCAAGGAGGGGCTCTGCCGCAAAGTCATCCACTACTTCAACAAGGGAAAGGTAAGAGGATGTCACACAGCTACACACAGACAGCAGTGGTACAGGTGCACGAGAGTGAGGGATCATTATTCCTCGTCATTCAAATGTGTTTACAGATCCCCTCCAGACATGTATTAAGATATATATACAAACAGTCTGCTTGGAACAATAATGTGTCTGATATGTCTTGTCCACAAAAAGTATAGTTTTGTTCATTTCTTAAGTTTTCCTCCTGCACACAAGTTGTCTCCTACTTCACTGTAAAGTCCATTCTCAGTGTATGTGCACTGGTGGCTTCAAGTTTCTACATCACACTATGTATAAGAGTTGCATACTGGACCAGGGGGACCAAGGGTTAGCTGCTATTTAACACTTAAATCATGAGCACAGTTTTTGCTTAAAACGACAATAAAGTCTGTGTATGTGGGTGTCTGTGTGTGTGTGTGTGTGTGTGTGTGTGTGTGTGTGTGTGTGTGTGTGTGTGTGTGTGTGTGTGTCCACCAGTGTTGGGAGTTTGGTATTCCTCTGTGCAGGGAGCTGGCCTTCCAGTATGAATCTCTGTACGACTATCAGAGTCTCAGCTGGATACGGGTGAGCTGCACATCACAAACTGGTTTCTGTTACATCAGTGACTCACAAAGAAATTTCACATTAAGTTATAACTTCAACGTCTTTCTTTCGTCGTGTCTGTGTTAAGAAAATGGAGGCGGCATATTATGACAACATCATGGAGCAGCAGCGTCTGGAGCCAGAGTTCTTCAGAGTTGGATTCTACGGCAGGAAGTTCCCTTTCTTCCTCAGAGTCAGTAAATCTTTTATTAACACAGATTCATTGTACAGTATTAGCTTCTTTGAAATGCTTACCAATGCAGGTATAGTACAAAGTCTTCTCTAATGTAATTGGTCATTTACAAAACACATAATAGCCTTAAAGGGAAAGTTCCATTTTTTAGAGTGTGGTTGTGTGAGGTACCTATCCAGTCAGTGTATTACCTGTGGTAGACGGCGGGCGGCAAACCCGTAGTTTGGAGAAGCGGATGGGGTTACCAAGAGAATGTGTTTTAGCCTCATAGAAAACAAAATCTTACTACTGTAGCTTGCTAGTAACTGTACCACAATAATTATAATAATTCCATTAAATATTCTGGCTATAAACATGAGCATGACTTCTATAAACAGTGTTTTGTTTTATTTTGATGATCCACACCAGAACAAAGAGTTTGTCTGTCGCGGCCATGACTACGAAAGGCTAGAGGCCTTCCAGCAAAGGATGCTGGGAGAATTCCCGCAAGCTATTGCGATGCAGCACCCCAATCAGCCAGATGAGGCCATTCTGCAGTGTGATGCACAGTGTATCCTTCAGTGAGAGAGAAAGCATCTGTGTGTGTGTGTGTGTGTGTGTGCGTGTGTGTGTGTGTGTGTGTGTGTGTGTGTGTGTGTGTGTGTGTGTGTGTGTGTTTTGATGTTCCTGCAATGACTAGCTGATTGATGTGACATCTTCACAAGGAACAGAATGAGAAAACTAATTATTCTACAACATGTCTCATAAATACCACAGTCAGAGAATCTAAATGCTCCATTTGTCCAGTTATTCCTTTGACCTCCTCGCCTCAGACCTCCAGATCTACGCAGTAACACCGGTGCCGGACAGTGTCACCGTCCTCCAGATGGACAGAGTCCCTGATCGCATTAAGAGCTTCTACCGAGTCAACAACGTTCGCCGTTTCCGTTACGACCGACCTTTCCACAAAGGACCCAAAGACCGAGATAATGAGTTCAAGGTGAGTTCAAACACAGACAACAGAGCACTTTCTGTAGGCTGGAATATTTACTTCACATCGTTTTGTTTTTAAAACACAAATTAATGCACAGTTGGTAACAGGTTAGTTTATAAAATGGTAGCACTCGCTGTGAAAATGAAAATATGCAAATGCAAATAAGTGTAAGTTATTATATTCACAAAAGGGTTATATGGTATGGAAATATATTCCAGCCGTCAATAACATTTCATAAACAAATCAATAATAATTTCTATCCAACTCTTTGTGACCTTTTTATAACCTGATGCAAAATCATTCACTGCCCAAGTGATTAGAAGTTTCCTTATTTGCACATGTAACAAAACACACAACTAATAATCCATTAAAGGATTACAGAAAAAAAGTCTCTGGAGTCCAAACAGACCAAAATTAATGGTCATAAAACAATCTCCTCCAAATCTGACCTGTCTACTAAAACACGGTGTAATTTATAAAGGTTAGATTGATATAGTATAACAAATAACTTAATGATGTTAAAATGCTGCATGAAGCAAGTTAAACACATTTGTATCGTAAGACATTTGAGTGGTTCACTGTTCCTCTAAGCAAACTGACAGATCTCTGTGAGATAATATCGTTGAGATTAAGCAGCAGCAGTCAGTTTGTGGCTCCAGGACAGTTTGTCTTACTGCTGTTTGTGTTGTGTGTTTCAGAGTCTTTGGATAGAGAGGACCACCCTGATCCTCACTCACCCTCTGCCTGGGATTTCACGCTGGTTTGAGGTGGACAAGAGAGAGCTGGTGAGTGAATGTAGAAATAGTTTCGTATCCGAAGGAAGATTAATTACAACGTTGGTCAAACTTTTATAGGACACTGATTGTTCCAAACCACTGTGGTTCGGACACAAGATCAGCAAGATGGATTCTTACGTGATCTTGTGATTCTGTGATCTTGTGAGTCCAGACGCCTCACAAGGTTAAAATTCACTGCTCTCAATTCTCCATCTCTAGTAATTTACTTCACATTTTCTGTCCTGAACACTCAGAATGTCTTGTAGATGTTTATGTGATGGACATGATGTGTTTAACATAATGCAGTTTGTGTTGAACAAAAAGGAAGAAGAACCGTTCGTACAATATGATTCGTGGCTGATCCATCAACAGGAAATCTCTCTCTGTGTGTTTCATGTATCTTAATTTCTCACTTTGACACCCTTGTCTGTCCCTCAGGTCGAGGTGAGTCCATTAGAAAATGCCATCTCTGTGGTGGAGAATAAGAACCAGGAGCTGCGGACTCTGATCAGCCAGTACCAACACAAGCAGCTGCATGGCAACATCAACCTGCTCAGCATGACGCTGAATGGAGTCATCGACGCTGCAGTTAACGGAGGCATCGCCAGATACCAAGAGGTCAGACAGAAATAGTTAGACATACATTCTGTAGTTCAGGTCGTCAGTCCCTATGAGGCGGATCTACATGTGTAACGGCAATGAACCAGTTAATGGTTTGCTCCAGCTTCTGTGTCACAAACAGTTTATTTATGATGTTTGACCTTTATAAACACAGTAAGTTGTGTAGTAATTTGATGATAACAATGACGACAATGATTTTTTTCTTTGTCATTAGGCTTTCTTTGATAAGGAGTACATCACCAGCCACCCTGAAGACACAGAGAAGATCACTCAGCTCAAAGACCTGATGCAGGAGCAGGTTAGAAATGACATTGTTGGCTCAACATACTGAACTTTGGCACTAGAACTGCTACTTTGAAACGAATAATCAACTATTTGCATTATGAATGCATAAGTTCAAATACAATGTTTCACCCTCATGGAAGCATGAACGTGCTGAACAAATTACTTAACATCTACTCATTGGATTTGATTCTGTATTTGCTCTGACTTTTTGATATTAAAAGTCAGAGCAAAGATTTATAATTAATGCTTTAAAAGAATCTACAGCGACGTTCGCCTGCAGGCTCAAAACGGAAGAACAGGAGAGATTTTTCAGAAAGCTCAGGGACTTATAAAAGAGGTAACGTCCGCTCTCTCTGCACAATAGAAATCTTGTCTGATGATGTTTTATTATTCTCCCGCAGGTTCACGTCCTCGGAGTTGGCCTGGCCGTGCACGAGAAACTGGTCCACCCAGAAATGCGTCCCCTGCACAAGAAACTGATAGATCAGTTCCAGATGATGAGGAGCAGCCTCTGCCATGTTAGTGCACAGAAACATTCACAGCAACAGCATTTCACTTTATTATATTTCAAGCTTATAAATAATGAGAAAAACATACTGTACGCACACATGTTGCTCCAGAATAATTCTGCTCTTCATGAGCCTAAATATGATTAACTGAAGCTAAACCAATGTTGAGCCTGGAAGAGGATTTGTTCTATTGTAAACATGCTGGAAGGTTGGATCATCATCACAAAGCTAATTAGCAGCTTCTTCAAAGAGGATGTTATCATGCTTCTAGCTCAGATAAGTGTGTCTCTGCTAACAATCTCAACGTTTCACCTCTAATTTATTGGGACATTAAAACTCAACAACGCAACATACAGCAACTTTAAGTGGTTATTCCAACAATGCTGTAGAGCTGCAATTATGAATTGGTTAATTGATTTGTAAATGAATTGCCAACGTCTTTGCTTATGAATAATAGTTTTGAGTAATTTTGTAAGAAAACATGTCAAACTTCTCAGATTTTAGCTCCCAAATAGATTTTCTGGTTTCTTTAGTCCTCTATGACTGTAAACTGAATATATTTGGGTTGTGAACAAAACAAGACAAAGACATTTGAGGACGTCACCTTGGGCTTTAGGAAACACTGATCAACATTTTTTACCATTTACCAGCATTATCTGACATTTTATGAACCAAACAATAATAAATCGACTAATAAATGAATGGAAAAAATTGCCGACAGATGAATTGATATTGAAAACAGTCATTACTGACTTGAGTTTGTCCATGTGGTGTGTGTGCACATATGTGAGGGCAGTGTGTATATTCAGAGCAGTGTTTCTATGTGGCGTTGCAGGGTCTGCCTGGTTTAGACAAGGTTGGTTCAGGAGCCAACACCCCCAGAGGGATCCTGGCCTCTCACAGCCCGATGAGCCCCGAGAGCTTCAAACTCCTGCACCGGCACAGGTCAGCAACACACACACACACACACACACACACACACACACACACACACACACACACACACACACACACACACACACACACACACACACACACACACACACACACACACACACACACACACACACACACACACAATTTTTCTCATTCCTTTTATCCTCGAGGGAGACTTTGCACTTTGTTCTGCTTTGTCAGTCGGTTACACTCATCCGTCCACACTCACATGACGTGACATTTTCATCACCTGTCAACACACACACATCTTCTTCTTCTTCTTCTCCCTGCCTTCTCCATCTCTCTCTACAACAATGACTTCATCTGCTCTCTGTCTCTCATTAATGATCTTTGCTAATTTCTTGCTAACTGCATCTGTGTATCATGCACAGTCGACTTCACACATCACATTTTTCCCTCTCTTTCTCTCTTTCTCTCTCTCTCTCTTTCTCTCCCCATCGAACCACCCTGCATTTTGCTTCTTGCATGGTCTTGGCTTTAAACTCCTGCATCTCTCATTCCCACCAAATTACTTCATGCATGTTTTGGTTGTTGGTTGTACTCTGCATGGCTCCTCGCTCTGCCCTTTTTTTTCCTCCCTTCCTCCCTACCTCCTTCTCTCTGCTTTCTTCTCCTTTACCTCCCTCTCTTCTCCCTCCGTCCCTCTACTTCTACCCCTACTCCTTAAATTTTTCCCACCACCCGTCCTCGGTTCCCTCCTCCCAGTCCCATAGCTGTTTTGACTCCAGTGCGCAACTCCTCCTCCTCTCTCTCCTCTCACAACTCCAGTGAGACAGGGAACGTTGGCAGCCTGCTGATCCTGGCTGATGGCATGGTGGTGGAGCACCCCGAGGACTTCTACCGCATGCAGGTCAGTGGTTCTCTGTGTTCTCAGGGTCAGTTTCCATAGATGAAATAAGACTTTATATGTTACAGAAGGACAAGGAACAGTCTAAAGAGGTAGGAGACAGATAAAGAGCTATTTAAAATAATGAATACAACAAAATTAGAAATTAAGTAAAATACATTCCAGAGTAGAAGGTTCCTATGCTTTATGAAATCTATGGAGTTAGATTTTTGGTAATTTCCAAGTCTGCATAAGTATGGAAAAACATTTGCGTCTCCAGACTAGTCTGTAAGTAGTCTGTAGTCTCTCCAAAAGATTTTTGTTCCCTTCAATTTGCAAAAGCATTTTATAATATTTAGATTATTATTATATATATTATCACTTTTTTTTATCCGACTTTTGTTTTTACACAGCTGAACTCCACTGATCTCATGATGCTACTGTGTGTGTGTGTGTGTGTGTGTGTGTGTGTGTGTGTTTTTTATTTACCTTCTCAACCTCCTCTCTGCAGGCAAGCCCCTCCTCCTCCAGCCTTAGCTCCACCCACTCTGCACCCTCCCAGATGATAAACTCCGCCCCCTCAACCATCAGAGGTAAGCAGCTCAGAAACATTACGTTTCACTGAAAACATATTTTATCACGTTCTAGCTTCTTGCTGCTTTTGTTCTGGAAAATGATTCCTCCTGTCGCTCCCTCTGCAGTCGGCTCTCCTTCCCTGCCGGACAAATACAGACACAACAGGGAGATGCTGATGCTGCTGCCACCTCACAGAGAGAGACCGAGCAGTGCCATGTACACCAACATCACCGAGAACGGACAGGTACGGAGTGATCTCATGCTTTTAAGTTTCTAACCTGTGTTGCTTTTGTTGAGTCAAAGTCTTTAGTCAACAGTCTGAATAGTTTTAGTCTAGTTTTGGTTCACTAGTTACCATAGTAACCCTCATCATAATCATTTTACTCTGGTTTAGTTAAAGTGTAATGCATTTAAACATTTCTCTAGAATTTCCAGACTCATTATATTCTCCTGGAGGACAAATCCATCACAATTAATACGACTCATTTATGATTGAAGATCAGCAACTCTTGATTATTCAAGACTAATACACAGTACAGGACAGCAGTGGTTTCTTTTAGCTGTTTCTCTCTTATTGCCTGCACATCCACACAATCAGGGGCTTATTTTAAATACCCGTACACACATGTTGGTCATAATCTAACCTCCGTACAGCGCCATGCCACGCAGAGAGAAGATGCTCATATGTGTGCCGTCCTGTGTGGCTCCAGCTCTGCGCCTGCAGCACTTAAAACTGTTTTTCTCCTCAGCCGACGAACTTCCAGCGAGCGTTGTTCCATCAGGTGATCGGTCCGTGTAAACCCTGCAGTGACCCCAACCTGTCTGTGGCTGAGAAAGGTAGAGAGGCTCACACACACACACACACACACACTCACAGGACATAGTGTGCAAGATTATATGCAAACAAATACACTCCATTTATCTTCTCCTCTCCTCCTTCTTCTGCTCCTCTCCCCTCTCATCTTCTTTCTCTTCCTCCTCTCCTCTCTTGTTTTCTTTTCCTCCTCCTCTACTCATCTCTCCTTTCTTCTCTCCTCTCCATTCTTTTCCTCCTTCTGTTCTCTCTTCTCTCTTACTTTCTTTACCTCCTCCCCTCCTCTCCTCTCCTCCCTCCCCTTCCCTCCTCTCCTCTCCTCCTCACTCCTCCAGTCCTCACCACTCCCAGTAGTTGGAGTTTGGACAGTGGTACCAGAGAAGCCCTCCCCTTCCTCACTGCCCATGTTGGCAGTGTCATGGCGCCTCCTGTTCCCCCTCGCAACCTGCCTCATGGTACGGCTCGACTTTTAAGTGTGTGTCTGTGTGTGTGTTTTATTTTAATGTCAGTTTGGTTTGTGTGTGTGAAATGTGTTTTGATATATGTATTTGACTGTATGTGTGTGTGTTTGTCCATTGTGTTTATGTGTATGTATCGTGTGTGTGTGTGTGTGTGTGTGTGTGTGTGTGTGTGTGTGTGTGTGTGTGTGTGTGTGTGTGTGTGTGGTGCAGTAACCTGGCAGGTGTGATGTTGTTGTTATTGTTGTTTTTATTTCCCAGTCAGAAATGTTGCTGTCAGTGTGTACTTTGGTATGTTTCATTACTTTCATTTTGAACTACTTTGTACTTGAGGAATATTCCCAGTGAAACCTGCTCCTGCTGTAGTCTGTGGATTTCTTGGAGCCGTGTCTGTATAGGGGACGCTCAGGGGAACCAGGAGAGGCTGAGCCCCCCCTGTACTCCCCCAGAACCAACAACAGTTTGAGCTCATAGAATCTCAAAAAGCTGAAAATTGACCATCATCTTACCACAGTTCTAATGTTACAGTGAATGATGGAGTTAAAACAATAATGAAATCAAATGAACCTCCTCCGTCCCGTCAGCTGTTTGTTTGGCAGTGTGTTTGTCTCTGTGTCATCACTGTGTTGTTGTTTTTATGTTGTGTGACCGGTACCGGTCCGCCATCTCCTGCCAGTGCGAGCAATGAGTGAAAACGTTACTGAACACACGCCTGGTCAGACACCAAACAGTAAATGAATATAAAGAAACACTCTGTTCTGTTCATAGTACGGATACAGAAGCAGAGAACATCCGTGTGGAGATATAAGATCATTTATCCTGAGAAAACAAATGTCCAATTTCTTTAGTTGATTGATTGATTGAAAGCACACACCTTAAAAAATACTGCAGCTGATTGGATGAACCATTTGTTTAGTTAAAGAACAGTTGAGCAGCTCCCATTTTAGAAACAAAAAGCCCCAAAACTTACATTTAAAGGACTTGACAGGATATTTGAAAGCACCTTTTCAAACACCTCCCCTCCTTCACACACACACACTCCTCTTCCTCCTCCTCCTCCTCTTCCTCCTCCTCCTCCTCTCTGCTCCAGCTTTTCCCTCCCAGTCCTCCTCCTACCCACTTCCACTTCCCTCTCTCTTCCCTTCTTTTCTTCCTCTTACTCTTTCTCCTCACACCTCCCCCTCCTCACCCCCTTTCTCCTCCCCATCCTCCACTTCTTCTCTGGTCTGAGGTGTGTGTGTGCATCTCTCTCAGTCAGTCCTGCTGTGTCTCCCCCTGTAGGGCAACACCTGTCGATGCACTTTGACGCTTTCCACCACCAGGTCAGCGACCTCCCTCCAGCTCTCCCTGCGCGCTCCTTAAGAAAGGTACCCTCCTCCTCTTCCTCCTCCTCCTCCTCCTCCTCACTCCTGCTGTTGGTCTGGATGACACTTTCTGTCACACTCCCCAAGAGAGGCACTGTTGTTAGGAGAGTTTGTTTTTGCCTCTGCACCTCTTTAGCATGATGACTTCAATGAAACCTGTGCAAGAAAGGCTCTTTTTCATTTCAAATGATATCACAAACTACAACTTTCAGGATGAGAATAACTGAATGAGTGTGATGCAGCGGTTCATTTACAACTGGAGGACACAAGCAGACATCCAGAAAGTGACTCTTCATTAGAAATGAATCTGTTCTGGTTTCTTTTTAATGTTCTGTTACTGAGCACAGGGTCTACACTGAGCTTTAAATGATCTGTGAGAGTTCAGGCACTGTACAGGAAGTTCCACTAAAGGAAATCTCCCAGTGTCCGTCTGCTTTCCCGCTTCTGCTTTCCATGGAAGTAACCTTCTTTTCCTTTTCTGTATGTTGTCCTGTTTTCTGTCCCTTTCTCAGTTTTGTTGAGTTTTCACTGCTCATGGACTTTTCTAATCTCCCTGTAGACAATCTGATTCCTAAATAATTGACTTCTAAAAATATATATTATATTATTTTATTATGTTTTACTTTTTTTAGTTCATTATAAACTCAACGTTGCGATTTCAGAGCTTGCAGAGACAGACTGCTCTTTACTCATCATTTATGAATCTTCATGGTCTGTTTCAACCACGACCATATGGCCATATGTTATACCTTATTTCAGTATTGTTTTCATCAGTTAAAGGCAGAATAAGTAGGATTTTCCTAAAGAACAATGTAAAGTGAACAATTATTTTCCCTTGACCGCTTGACTGCTAAAATTAAGACAGACTCAGCAACAGTATGGCTTCTTTCTCACCCTAAATGTTTTCAGAAAACATTTATAGATATATATACAGGTGTTGAATGGCCGAGGCCTCCTCAAAAAATAGAGCCGGCTCTGCCAGTTCCTGAGAAGAGTCAGGGGGCATGCGCTTCTGGTGCTATTAAGACCAGAGAGAATACTGTGTTTACAAACCGCAACCAACAAATCCAGTTTATTCTGCCTTTAAGTAAATGTAACTGCTTTAAGTTTTAGTTTTTCTTTCTAATCCTTCATGACAGCAAACATAAACAGCTGTAACATACCAGCTGTCTGTTCTAACTCTGTATCTGTCCCCCCTTTTCTCTCTCTCTCTCCAGTCTCCCCTGCACCCTATACCTGCCTCGCCCACCAGTCCACAGTCCATCCTGGATGGCAGTAACTCCACATTATCAGGCAGTGCCAGCTCTGGAGTCTCCTCCCTCAGTGAGAGCAACTTCGGCGGCCCCGCCTCCTCCTCAGACCCCCCGGCCAGTCGCACAGACACCCTGGAGTCCGTCCCCAGCAGTCAGGCCTGGACCACCGACCAAGAAGACCTGGACTCACTTTATCAACCCGTCAGGTACAGCGTCTCTGAGCCCGACGTCCTCGATGGAGTGAAACCCCCACCCTGCCGCAGCCACTCCGCCCCCGGAGGCGTCACCCCGGCCCAGGCAGGGGGCCAAATCCAGCCCCAGGCTCCGGGTTCGGCCTCCACTGGAGCTCCACAGCAGCAGGATGGGCTGCCGCACCCCCAACACCACCACTACTACCACCACTTCCACCCACACTACATCCCCCACCACCCGCCTCTTTACCACCTCCACGAGCCTCCTCCAGCCCTGCCCCCCAAACCCTACCTCAGAGAGGGGTGTATCCCTGAAGAAGACCCCCTGAACACCCAGTCTGCACCCCCTCCTCCCGCCCCCCGGCCCATGCCACGCAAGATCTCCCAGCCCATAATCGCAGCAACCAAGGATGAGCAAGCGAAAGTGGCCTGGGAGCACGGCATCAGTGAGGAGTGAGACGTCGGCTGATGATGATGAACAGAATATGAACTCTTTTCAGAAGAGAAGTGGAGTGAGAGCAAGAGCCTAAAACCGATGAGAAACTGTCAGACTCCCCCCAGTTGTCCCGGTTCAATAACCAAACTAATCATTGAAGATGAAGGTTGAATGGATCTGCTCTCTCAGTACAGTCAGCTTTCAACATCTTTTAACCAAATGTTTCTCATGTCACTGCATCCTGAACTAAAACTACTATTTAATCAGCTTTTTCACTAAATCTATCATAATAATGTCCACAAACACATATTTCTAAATGCAGTCGCACTCGTACTGAAATTGCACAGATATGTATCTTATCTCATGTTAGTTATTGATTTTATTTTCACTGATAATCGAACATTATCATTCAGATTTTTAAATAACAATTATACCCTGTTCTCTAAAGCAGCACTTTAACAAAGCAACAGAGCACCAAAACATATGAGAATTATAATCTTAACATATTTTTTATAAAAGCAGGGATTATTTCGATGCTACGTAACGATAAAGTGAAGATCTCACTGAAAACAAGTCGAATTAAAGAGTCCCGAACAAACAGCCAATCAAACGACAGATTGAGCTCCGCCCCAGTCGTCTTATTTGTCAGATAAACAAACATTATTATATTTTCCAACACAAAAAAAACAAAGTGTGTAGATATAATACAGTATATAGACGTATATAAATATAATTTCTATTTAATCCATATACTTTTGATTGAAGGTGAAACCTGTGTAGAAATATGCAAGATATAAATGAGCCGTTAGTAGCTGCTGGAGGATTTATGACGCGACGACGCCTCACACACAAACACTCTGAAAATGTTGCATCCCATAATTTCCGGGGTCAAGAAATCATTTTATTTAATGCTGAAAAGGCGTTTAAACCTGCGCAGGGTGTTTTTTTTTTAGCAGAGGAGGCGTTCAAGGGAAGAAGCTGTAAATGTGTGCGAGGCATCAGATGGAGGATATTTATAGAGAATATTAACGATAATAAATATACACTTTTTGCCATTTTTTTATGAAAGTAATGAACTGTACATTTTTTAATCAGGTTTTGTATGCATGTCGATTCATCGGGAGTTTGAGCTTAAACAGAGACTGTGAGCGATCCACAAAGGTTAAACTACTGCAGAACTTCTGTGCACTGATGTGTTTATAGTTTATAGGAAGAAGAAGCACTTTGATCACAGAGGATTTTAAAATCTACATGATTTCATCTTTGTGATCCTGGTGTGTACGAGTACTGTGAAGGATAATACTTTTGTATTTTGTTTGTTTTAAAAAATGTTTTTACTTTTAGCCACCTGCTCAGATATGATTATGTACATACTGTCATCCTGCAATGCACCTAATCACTCCTCCTCTCCTTTTTTTGGTTGAAATGAACAAAACTGAACTGTGAACAGCTGTTAGCTCCCCTGGTTTAGCTTCCTAACTGTGTTTCTGTCACAGCCGTTTACACTGCTCAGCGTATTCTGCCTGATGCTGGATCATATGCGGACTCACACGTGGTTAACTGTCATATTTATGTGCACAGATCTGAATCATAAAGTCTCAGAGGACCTTTTAAAGGTAAAACTCCTGCATATATAACTTAGAAGATGTTAAATGATAAGACTGCTGATATTGCACTGTATTTTATTTTGACTCAGTCCCACACACACCATCCTGTTTCTATAAATACTAGAACACCAGATGTGTATTAATCCGCCACTGAAAATAGTCCCCAACAAATACACTATTTCCTCCTGTATGAGTAACAGTTATAGGCTGTTATAGGAAGTGACTGAGCCTGAAACTTTTTTCGTTTTCAGTAAGAACCGACAGAGACAGAGTAGTAAGAAATATTAATATCTATTATTGATTATCTATTATATCTGCTTGTGGTTTTGCCATCAAGTACTAAAAATGTCCGGAGTACCACAGTATATGTCCACAGGATGCGTCATTTCCAGCCTGTAAGCAGACAGAAATGCATTCTGGTATAAAGCTTTTATTTATTAGGGGGTAAGTGGATACAGCGTTGGAGACGGGGCTCCGTTCATTCCTGTGGAAGCTGCTCAGTGGTGCATGAAGCCAAAAACAATTTGATTTCCAGACATAAAATGACCTGAATCTTCTGCATATGTTTCCACACTGTGGGGCCTATAGAGGAAGCACACTAGAGACTTCCTCCGTTCCTAGCTTCCAGTTCAGCCCTCCGCTAACTTGTATGAAGATATAATAACTGAATGGTCCAGGTGCAGTATGGATCCCGGCTGTTCCCTGTGTGGTTCGATGACGTTTAATGAATTCACTGCCACTAGAGCGCCTCAGACCAAATAATGGGCACCAGACTCCATTGACAAAACCAGTGATTTTACCTCGTACATAAAAACACAATTCCAACTGGACAGAAACAAATCAAACTCACCAGTCTTTCCAACATTCTCCAACTCTGGTGGACAAATACGCCAGAGTCCGTTTAAAAGAACTAACCCTACAGACCGAGCCTTAAAGAACATGTTAAGACTATCAGTATTGATCACTCGTTGTTGCTGTTCACTTTGTTAATGAAGGGCAGCTGACAGGTTAGAGGAGGATTCACAGGAGTTCACTGCAATAATGAACACAGGTCAGTCTGTGTTGTTACAGCAGTGTGGGTTAAACTAGCAATTTGTGAATAATTGTCTCACATCAGGAAATTGTACGCAGAGGAAGAAGGAACAGGTTGACCATAATGTGACGTTGCAGGCTTTACAATAAGCCGATTGACAGACTTTGTTAAGTGTAACTGAATACAACTCACCATTATTTTCATTATCCATTTATCGATTAGTTGTTTGGTCCAGAAAGTGTTGATCACTGTTTTACAAAGCCTAAGGTGGCGCCATCAAATGTTCTGCCCACAACCCAAATATATTCAGTTCACTGTTATGGAGGAAAATAGCTTTTAGCCATAATTTAAGAATTAATTGAATTCCATCTCATTCATTCTGATTTTCACTTCAGATTTTACATCTAAAAAAGAAAGAAAGCAAAAGCACCACTAGTATAACTATATTTTAAAAGAATCCATCTTTACACACTAATCATGTATATGTGCACCTGTTGAGCCAATACATCAATCATTAATCATTAAATCATACATATGTTCCAATATAGAGATAACTTCCATTTAGCCAAAAAATACACTTCAAGTATTCACCACATACATTATATGAGTGTGAACAGACTCGTTGGTAGTTTGGTTCTGGAATAATAACACAATAACACATTACAGTTCAACAGCACAACCTCCATCCTCCAAAAGCCTCCCACAGTTCAATCAGCAGCTCTCTGAAACTGTTTCAATCTCAACATCATGATGTTCATGAAGGAAGGGCTGTGGTGTTAGGTTGTGTTAGTTTGAGTATACTCAGCAATCACATGTAAACTTAATTCTGGCAGTAAATCGTCCAAACCTGTTGAGATTGTTCACGTCTATAAAAAAAACCTATGCAAAGCCTGTTGTGATCTGAGAAGTCCACTTTGAATTATTTGTTGTTTCTCTGAGCTTTTTTCTTCATACTTGTTTGTTTTTTAAGCTCGAGAGACATTTAAGAGACATTTGCTCAAATTTGGTTCTTTATAAAAGTGTCCTGTAGGAAGACGTGTGATCAACACTTGTAGAAGAGAATAGAGGAGGAGAAGGGTTTGTGCTAACTGAAGCTAAAGTACAGCGCTGTGTGTGAAACAAAGGCTCATTCTCACTAAGAACTACAAGTACCAGTTTGTGTGTAACGTTGTGACACTAAATCCACTGAACACACACTTTGTTTTTGTAATCGCTGTAATGGATGAAGAGAGGAGGGAAAGTCAGTGCACGGAGGAGGCGGGTTGATTTCTGTGTACATAAACAAGGAGAGAGTGTATTTATACCGATCATAAAGGGCAAACCTTGTATACATGTAGATTGTGATTGTCTTGCCTTGTACTTTCTGATGTAAAACTGTTTTTAAACCTAGACAACAGCAAACAATACAAGTTCCTTTTGTCTAATGATTCTGATTATTTCAGGGCAGCTGAGCGGAGCTTCATTATTATTATTTTGTGTATTTTGCATCAATGACAAATCCAGATAGTGAGTTACTATGATGGTATTCTTTGTACAATGATGCTAATAAGTATTTCTTGTATATAAAAGTCTTTATTGTGTTAGCATGGGTATAAACTGTGACGTGTATGACGGTAGATGTAAATACTCACGTTTTTTTCCTACTCACTAAACAAACTGCTGTGTTGTGGATTCATGATTAATGACAAACATTAAACAATAATGTTTTATTGACTCAGATGGGATTCAGCCTGCCTTCATTTACATCTTTAGATCAGTTTACTGAAGTAGCTGTGCCATCCTGTTTACTTTTGATACTTTCATTACTTTTAGCTGATAATACTTCTGTAGTTTTACTTTGAATGCAGTATTTTTACTTGTAATGGAGCTTTTTTACAGAGTTGTGTATTTTTACTTAAAGTATCCGAGTACCAAAGGGTCCAATGTACAATAACTTCTTATTCATGCAGCTGTCTCATATGAACACAGTGAGAATGAGCAGGAAGTGGTTCTCAACCACAGTCCACATAAACATCAACTTTATTCAGGTTATTAAATAAAGTTACTCACCACCGCTGACAGAGGCTTCATATTCAGTGATACAGGAGTTCAACAAATTATTATTGTTGTTTATCTTTGAATGAGGTGATTGGAGGACTCTTTAACAGTTTTATTTCTATGATGAACTTTCATTGTGTTGATTCTGGCGCCCCCCTGTGGACAAAAGCAGTAGTGTCTCCACTATTTAAAAAAGGGGAATCTGAATCTGACCCAAAGACAGCCAATAAAATAACTATACAGAAATATTCAGTATTCTTTAAAACTAACCAGGACCTCTGTAGCAGCTGTTGTTCAGCTTTAGAAATCACTCATTTTAAATCTATTAATCACAATATAAATATAAAATGACTTTATAGAACTTGTTTTATTGGGTTGCTGTGTTTTATTTAAATAAATGTTAAATCCAGTTAGTTTGTGTTCAAAGAGTCTTTAGTAAGACTTTAAGTATCAAAAACAGCTGCTGCAGCAGATCAATAACCACTCTGATTTCCTTCAAAATAAAAGCATCCAGTCATCCATCAGGAAAGTTTGTTTTATTCAAACGATTGGAGACAAAAGTTTAAACATGATGATTGTAATGTCTCATTATTATTTAGGACACTTTAATGTCCACAGTAGAAACAGGAAGTGATGGTAGACAGATGTAGAGTTTGTAGCAGTGTGCTGTCGCTACGTCACCAGCTAACTAGCTGCTCCAATAACAAAGAACCACATGAGGAAGAAAAGACAACTTAACAACATTAACTCACTGATTGGAAGAATATCTCATCAACAAGGAAACTCTGTGACATCACAGCTGGTTTGGTCCAATCACATTTTATTATTTCAAACACAAACAATCTTCTATAACACAGTGTGTATCCTCACTATGTGTAATGACAGTCAGCATCAATAATACACATTCAGTCAGAATATATTAGTGAACAAACAACAAGGCACATTGAAGCAGCACAGACAACTCTTAATAAAATAAAATACTGTATATACACTGCACACTATTGCAATAGGAAGAAGAATCACACAGTGTCTCTATGAGCCTGTTTACACCTGGTATTAACATGTGACTTAATCCGATCACACAAACCACTTTCCTTCACTTTCTGACCACATATCTTATGATCTCTAATACATCCTGGGTCACACTGAAACTGACATCCTCTAAGTACACCACACTTCTGTTTAGTTCACTGTAATGAAACTATGTGCTAGGGCTCTTTTACCTCCGCTGATGAGCTGCAGATGTTTGTGAACACGCTGCCTGTTTCATCTGATTTGACCACTGAACTAGTAACCTCATTATCTCTAGATAAATTATTTAATACATTTTTTTAAATATCTTACGATTTTGAGTTACTGAGTGAGGGGAAACTTTAGAAACTTTGTGAAACACTACAACAGATTGTTAAATTCAGGAAACGTTACACATGAAGTTATTTCTTTCTTTCTGTTGTTTTTCGTTATGTTCAAATGTTATAGAATATTTTAGTATATATTATTAATAGTATATATTTAAGTATATGATATTTATTGTTTAGTTTTTTACAGCGGTATCTAATTGGGATCAAGAACACACACTTTGTTTTTGTAATCGCTGTAATGGATGAAGAGAGGAGGGAAAGTCAGTGCACGGAGGAGACGGGTTGATTTCTGTGTACATAAACAAGGAGAGAGTGTATTTATACCGATCATAAAGGGCAAACCTTGTATACATGTAGATTGTGATTGTCTTGCCTTGTACTTTCTGATGTAAAACTGTTTTTAAACCTAGACAACAGCAAACAATACAAGTTCCTTTTGTCTAATGATTCTGATTATTTCAGGGCAGCTGAGCGGAGCTTCATTATTATTATTTTGTGTATTTTGCATCAATGACAAATCCAGATAGTGAGTTACTATGATGGTATTCTTTGTACAATGATGCTAATAAGTATTTCTTGTATATAAAAGTCTTTATTGTGTTAGCATGGGTATTTAGAATATTTTAGTATATATTATTAATAGTATATATTTAAGTATATGATATTTATTGTTTAGTTTTTTACAGCGGTATCTAATTGGGATCAAGAATCGTGGAATTTCACTGATACTGCTGTTAACTCCAAAACATCTATTGTGTCATCCCTTCTGGCATTAATGCCTTTCTTGGTCATCTGTGATGTAAATCATCAGATTTCCACACGGTGAGAGAAAGTAAAAGTGTGTGTCTCATGAAGTCAGAAAACCCCAGGGTGTCCCAGCGTCCCTCTCCTGCAGGGCTGCTGACAGAGCAGGTTAAAGTAACTAGAGGTTAGTGTAACACTGAACTGGAACAAAGGAGAGTAATGATGGACAGTGAGAGGTTCCATTGTGAGTAAGATACCGCTCTATAGTGTTTGTCTGAATATACAGCAGGTGTAAACAGCCTCCAGAAGACTCCTGTTTGGCATCATAATGAAAACAAAGCAGTGAGTTTCTAAGTTAACTGCAGTAAAACAATTATTTTACACATATTTAAAAATTATTCACACTCAAGCAATAAAATATTTCTAACAAGTTCAAGTTCAACTGGATGTAACATATTAATACAATATGGACCTTTTTCAAGAACTGAAACAAGTAAGATTATCTCCACCTTCTCTTTAACATCCCAGTGACAAAGGATTCCTTCAATCTGATCTACATTCATGTATTTAACAGTCTCAGATCTGACAGAAGTCATGTGTTTCCATCTCTTCTCCTCTCATAATAGATCTGCTGTTCTAACAGGTCACCTGATTATTTTATATGTATATATATAGTACTTTCCTTTTTTTGGTTTGAGCCCCCGAACTTTTAGAACTAAACATTTGGATTTAATACAGTCAATATGATCTTTAAAATAAATGTTTGTTCTCTTATAATTTCCTTGTTTGGTTGAGTTGTGTTTGTCGCTTCATTCCATTCATTAATGTGCTATAATGTAACAGCATCAGCAACAATGTGAGAGAGAGAGGGAAATACTAATGAGATGCATAATGACAGGATGAAACAGAACAAATCAAAAAACAAAAAACAATAACATTAAAAGTAACATTCAGAGTTCATCCAAATAAAAGAAAAACGTATTCAATCTGTTGATGCTCAGAGTCATTAAGGAAGCTATACATTGTTGAGCTGTCTCATATTCAAATAGCCCTACACTGTAGAGTGCACACACACGCACACACACACACACACACACACACACACACACACACACACACACACACACACACACACACACACCTTCACAACATAGACCTAAAAGAAGACCTGTTAGATGAACTGTTAGCAGGAGCTTCGTTACAACGTGCTCTGCTGACAAGAACCTGCAGAGAAGAAAAGGAAAGAATATATTACACAGAGTCAACTTCTATATAAATCATTCTGGTGGACACACAAACAGATTTGCTTTTGCAGGTCTGTTTTGAATAGTTAATAGTGAAGGTGTATTATTTTCTACATTTTATATTTTCTGCAAATATTAATGTTAATACTCACTTAAGATTATATAGAAAATATTTTACTTCAATACTGTTTGTTTAAACTTCATTCTGGTCTGTGTCTTCTCTAGGGGTCCACCTTCGGCCCAATCTGCCTGACTGAATGTGCATTTCTGGTGTTTAGTTGAATATTCTGAATAAAGTTTGTGTGGCAAAAAAGTCAGTCTTAGAACCGTCTGTGTGCTGAGTCAGGGCAGAGAGAAGCGCTGACTCAGCACCAGCGGGACACTGTGGCCTCTTTGTATTGTTGCTGATTCCACCACCTTAGTAGAAATAAATAAAGCAGCTCGCTCAGGGTGTTAGGATAGGGTGCTACGATTATCTTTTTTTAATTTTGGGTTCAATTTTTGATGTTGTTGTTTCTTGTTAAATTTGTGATATCAAACGTAATTATCAAAAAATCCCCAAAATATGTTCTTTGTCAAGGGGTGTATGACTGTGTATATGTATAACTGTATGATGTTCCCAGTGGGAAGTTTGATTAGGACTTTACATTATGCTGCCTGGAATTTGACTAAATATAAGATACATGTAAAGAATGTGTTGTGTTGTTTGTTCATCATGAATATGTTGAAACCATAAATAATTTAAACTCACCTTTCTTAAAGTTTAGTTTGATGCAGCCCTTCCATACAAGCACAGCTAAAATCACACCAACTACAATAAGAGTGATGAAAACTGCACCAACAATCCATCCAGTGGACTCTGAAACAGATGAGAGAGAGTGAATGTGACACTCAGAATGTAATTGTATATCACACACAGCAGATTGGACATCAGCCACACAAACAACCACTAAAGGTGTGTATGCTCCTGAAATGTCCACAGCTGAGAGCTTGGTTGTGGTTCTGCTCACAGTAGTGAGGAGGGTGATGTTGTAGCATCGTCCTGTTTCTGAGACGTGCTGCTCATCAGTAGAAGACTGTTTGAATCACTGTCCTGCCTCCTCTACTTCACACTGTTTCCATGGGACTTGTGTTAAACTGCTGCTGTGCCTGAGATCTGCAAATGTGTGTGACAATGTGTGTACAGCCCAGTTCTCTACACCCTGAGCCCAGGCTGTGATGGACTCTGGATTACGTCTTATAAACACATCTTTATTTGATCATGGTTGTTGTTACAGCTCGTATTGATGAGCTTTGTTCAAATCAAATATCACCCATTCAGCTGAATGTGCAGCTTAGCTCGCTTTCTGCTTCACTGAGCAGTAAAAGTACAATTCTGAGCTACTTTACTGAGTATTTCCATTTGATGCTGCTTTATACTTCAACTTCACTACATTTCAGAGGGAAATATTCCACTTTTTACTGCACTACATTTGACAGATAGAGCTACTTACTTTGATTTCACATATAAAACATGTGATCTATGTACACAATATAATACTTTTATAATAGTTTTGCTACTTTATATTGAACTGATGGTGGAATTGTGAAAGCAGGACTTTTACTTGTAACAGAGTATTTTTACTTTGTAGTTTTGCTACTTTTCCTTAAAGTAAATAATCTGATTACTTCTTCCACCACTGAGTGCTGTCCACAAATGTGAAGATTCAAATGTTTGTGTTGTAGATTCAGTGATAAAGCTTTCAGTGTGTTTCCTGTGCTGAGAGAAATCCAGAGCAGAGTTATTGATTGGTAGCTTGTTGCTTCATTTACTGCACAACAATGTGAAGTTCAACCTATTTACACTGAATACTTCTGCTGTCAGGAAGCTGCAGGCACAATCACACATCTGACTGGAAACCACAGCTGGAGAATCGCACTGTGTCGCCATTTTGTGTCCTCTGTGCTACAGCCTTATGCTTCAATCATACATCAGCTGTGATTGGTTGAATCAGCCCACATGCTTCAGTGAGCTGCACACAGTCACATTTAATACAAAGCACAAGCCAAATGTTAGTAAATGTGGGAAGAGGTGAACATTAGTGAACTCCTGCTTTCACACTCAGACAGAGGAGGAGGATTCCTGCTCACATTTACAAATCACATTGTGACACTTTCACTCTTGTTTTCATCTCCATTTTCACTTCAACTCAAAACCTGATGCTGGATTTGAAGTTAGTTCTGCTTGGAATCAACCAACACTCTGCTGCAGTCAATGAAGCTACATTTCTACCAACATGTTTGTCATCTGGGACCCTCACTGCAACACAATGCTACTAATGACAAGTTTCTGTCTATCTATCTATCTATCTATCTATCTATCTATCTATCTATCTATCTATCTATCTATCTATCTATCTATCTCACCATTAAGAGGCGCAGCAACTGTCTCAGCAGAAATCTGATGGTTGATGTCGTTCTGCGTAACTACACAGGTGAAGTTGTCAGCCTTGGTTACAGTAGCTTGTAGGATGACGTTGTAGCTTCCTCCTCTTTCTGTGACCTGTGGTTCTTTAGCAGGAAGGATGTTTCCAGCACTGTCCTTCCACTCTACTTTAGGTTGTGGAGAAACACCTTCAACCTCACACTGCAGCTGCACCCCATCATCTGTTTTAACTACTCTGACAGACGGCTTTGCAGCTGCACCTGTGAACGTAATAAAAGATAAAAGGTTAAACATAAAATTTACATGATTAGACAAATAATATTGGGAATATAAGTCTTAATTACACCTTCCAGCATTAGGGATGATATTTCAAACCCTAATTTCTTAGAATGAATAGATTGTTAACTTTTTACAACTGCAAACACTATTTTTGACTCACATCATGACAGAAGCACATATACAGTGAAAAGATTGGACAAACCTTAAATCTTTATGCCACAATTTGTTGTCTGATATGTCGGAAATATTTCTATTACACTGAATGAATATAACAACGTTCAATTGTATGTGTACACTCAGTCTGTTATCAGGGTTTCATTGTGCCACTGAGTGTATTTGATCAACAGTCTCATGCTGCCAGAACACAAAACTCATCATTAAACTGGTTTCAATTGTTCTTTTGTAGCCAACAGCAGCTGATGAAAGATTTCAGATTGTATTTGTTTTATCAAATAATTATTTTATTTAAAACTACAGGTTAGTTTACGTTTTATCATTTAAATTTATCCAGCACTTGATATTCCTTTGATTTAAAGATGATGCTTTGATTTATATTTTATATCGAACAAATGAAACCCTAATCAGACAAATAGTGAATCATACATTTTATTTTCTTCATTCGTCTGTAAAGGGGTGTTCCACTGAGTTTACAGAGGAGATCACTGATCATGCACTACTCAGTTAAATCAGCTATAATGTCTTCTGTAAATGTGCAATGTTGTTTAAGAAAATAAATAAATATACGATTTACGACATTACAACAGCACTGTATTACTTTATGGCAGTAAACTCATTAGCAACTTACTAGCTATCCTGTCTAGCTGCAGTTCAAATGTATTTATGGGTCCAAAAACAGACATTTGGAGACGAACAGGAGCTCGTTTTAAAGAACTAAAGTCCACCGATTAAATCCAACTTGTTTCACTTCAAGCGGAAGTAAAAATAAGGAGAATAAAAGTCGATTGTGTCTCTCGGTTCATTTTGGCGCCGCTCATCAAACTTTAAAACTACGTCATTTCTGTCAATATTAAGTTGTTAATTAAAGATTGGACCAATGATGTTCAGTCTCTCTGAAATCAGTAAACGCCCAGCAACAAAACAAACCAATCAGCATCTTTCTACGACCTAAAGTGAGCAAACTAACAGACCTTTAACTCCATCAGCCAATCACAGGAGAGCATCTTCACAGGAGCTCCACCTGTGTCTGATTGACAGATACTTTCATCCAATGGTAAGTCAGCACCGTGAAAACACGCTGAGTTTGTAGCCACTGAAATTACCTGTCTGACCATATATGGAAGTTAACGTTGTCGGACTTCCTGTGGTAGTGGGACTCCCACAGAACACAGAAACTTTATTTATCTGTTTACACAGACATTATTCAGTGATAATTAATATGTACATCTTTATTTAAATATTAAAAACAGATTTTTATAGTTCAATTAAACTCTTAGTGACATTTATTCAGGGTCAGAGTGAGGTTAAAGGGATTTATTGTCATCATTTGGGAACTTTGGAGAAGTTTTAGAGAGCTCTGTGGACACCTGCTGGAGATAATCTGTACTGCACTTTCTAAAATATCTCAGAGCCACTTCTGTCTGTCAACATCAAAGTTTCTACAGACATTATAGACAAGTTGAGGGAGAGATCCTGAGAACTTCAGCCTGATAGTCTGTATTATGTCTTATTTACTGGATTTTAAACAAAAGTCAAATGAAAACAAAAACAAGAAAACTTCTATTTGTTTCTGTTTCGTCATTAAACAATTTAACTCTCTCAGAGCCTTCAGTAAGATTAACACACCTGATGAAACCTCAGAGTGTTTGCTTTACTGTGATTAAATGAACATGTATCAGTTCCTCATGTTTGTGCTATTAAACAGTTTAAAACTGGTAGATATTAAGAATCAGAAATGCACATCAATAAAATGAACCCCAAGAGGTTAAGATATTGCGCTCTGGGTCAGGATCTAAAAGGCAAAACAGAATTATATCAGAGGGTTTGGAAAGCAGAGAGGTAATAAAAACCTGAGAGTGCACACTGATTTCAGACTGCTGAGATTTCATTGTACAGAGACATAATGATCAATGCGTCACTAATATCATGTTTGATACAGAGGTAATCAGTCCAGATGTGGCTGCAGCGCTGTGGGGACGAGGCTCTGCCAGATGTGGATTCTGACTACTTGACAAAAGTCCATCAGAGACTCTCAAACCAGTCTCATGAGTAAATGAACAACATCTTTAACTGTTTAATGAAAGTACTCACCAAAAACCACAAGCTTTATGTAGAAGGTTTGTCTTGGTTGAAGATCTGGAAAATCACAGGTGTAGTTTCCACTGTCAGATATCTTCGTATTATTGATCTTTATGGAGGCGTTACCGTTCTTCAGTTGATCTTCAAAATGTGAGACTCGACATTTGAACTGCTCATCTTGACCTTTATGGTCGTTATTGGAATGCTTGCCTCCATCATAAAAGAACACATCCTTCTGACCATCTTTCTTCCACTCAAAGTGCTCAAACGTAATGCTCTGCTGAGTGCTGAGGGAACAGGGTAGAATAACATAACTGCCTTGTTCCACTTTGACAACCACTGGACCTGGAAGATAAAAACATTATTAATCAGTATGTTTACATGCAGAGTCATTAAGTAAAGACAGAAATATGGACGTTTGTTTTAATACATCAATTTATGATTTAACAACTAACTTTCTTGTTTATTGACCTGTTCTAGAACATTGTCCTCCAGATTGAATATTTGTACTTTTACTGCTTTTTTAACAGACACACAGATTCACAGATATAACAAAAACTATATATAACAACTAACTTTTCCTTTTCATCACTGACTCTGCTGTCAGTCAGACTCTCTGTCTGCTCTCTCAACACACAAAGAAGAAGAAAGAGGAAACAAGAGAGAGCGACGAGGATAAACTCAGAACTAAAAGTGAAACTTAATTCTGTTCATAGTGATTTCTTTGTCTAGTTGGTAAAAAGACAAAAACAACAAACCTCTGGACTACACTCAGATATCAGACACAAAGATTCACTCATATACACATATGGGTCAATCATTTAATACATTGTTGACACATATTTTATTATATAAAACCTATTTAGTGTGAATACAATATAAGTACATTAAAACAATAAATATTAATTAAAAACCTTTGATAAATTAAAGTAAAATACCATGGCATGATTCTGTAAATAAATAATAATAATAAACAACATTTTACAAACACAAATGATTTTAAAGCCCTTTAAAATAACTGAAAAACTTTAGTCAAGCAATCAGTAAACTGTCAGTGTGGCACAATCGTACGATTTGACTTTTATTTTGAAGTAAAGAGGTTATATCAGTTAAAAGGATATTGCATCAACCAGAGGACCCCCAGTGACCTTTATGGCTGAGTGAGGAAGTTTGTAGATCTCTCAAATATGAATAAAAATATCTACTTTCAGCTCTCAGGTTGGCCGGTACACTTTCCATATATATTCTGTATGATAGAACTACTAACTGTAGTTTGTTGACCCTGTCTAGCACATTGTCCTCAGTTAATCCTGTGAACTCTGCCCTCAATGGAAAACTAGAAACATCTTATTTTATCATTAAACTCTTTATTTTATTTCAAATGTATATGTATGAACTTGCTAGCAAAGCCAAAAGGTAACACATGTGCTCAAACCTCACCGTGGTAAAGTGAGCCACAGTCAGAATGTGGTTGCACCTACAGTAGGGTTATTATGGTAGGAAGGTCCTGAAAGAGACATATAGCCGTTGTTCTTTTATGAAAATGACTAATACTTTTAGTCATAACATTATTTATGTTAATAAAATAACTGAAAAAGTAAATGTTGAACATTTTATATTTATTTTATATATTGTATTTATTATTGTAATTATTATTATTTCAGTATTTAGTCATTTTCATAAAAGAACAACAGTTATATGTATCTTTCAGGACCTTCCTACCGTAAAAACCCTACTGTAGGTGCAACCACATTCTGACTGCGGCTCACTTTACCACAGTTTCTCTCTCTGCGGCTCAAGTTACCGCAGTGAGGAACGAAAAAGAAACAAGAAAAACTTAAAATCAACAGTAGGAAATATAAATATAGATATATATTTGGTTGCACTGCCTTACACTTTGTGGGCAGAGAAGTTAGAAAAACTATAAAAAATAATAAAAATAAATAAATAAAACTGTTTAAAAACATAAAATATTCTTCCAGCACAAAAATCAATCAATTTTAAAATGACAAAAAAAAACCTTTTAATAAACCTTTTACTTTCTCACTGACTCAGATATAATATTGTAAAATATCAGAGTCTGAAGTTTGACACTCGGTGCAGAGAACCGTTAGTTTTAGAAGAGGAAGAGGAGACGCCCAAACACACACACACACACACACTCACTCACACACACACACACACACACACTCACTCACACACACACACACACACACACACACACACACACACACACACACACACACACACACACACACACACACACAACGCACACACACGTACACACACGTACACGTACACACACGCACACACACGCACACACACACACACACACACACACGTACACACACACACGTACACACACACACACACACACACACACACACGCGGTAATGATCTGACTTCTAAAGCAGCTCCTAACATCACAATGATGATGTAATCAATTCAATCAATAATATCGATTATCAGGATGCATTTTACATCACGTTACAGCTGTTAGCAGTTTAGTTCATTTCCTGTTTCAGACAGCTTCAGAAATAAAAGAAGAGTGATGAGTTTTCTTACTGTGATCAGCAGCCGTTCCTGCAGACCAGGTCAGCAGACAGAGACACACGAGAGGAAGAAGATCCATAGTCTTCCTCTGAGGATGAAACATCAGCTCACTGATCAGCTCTCTTTAGAACGGAACCTCAGACACTCCTCACTGCGTACACACCGATCTCAAACACTTTCGGTTTCACAGTTTCTGCAAACTGCAACGATAGCGTCACTTCCGGAAGCCCTTCAGAATAAAAGCGTAATCTTTAATAACTATCAATGATGCAGAAGAACTGCTCAATTTACCTGTTAGAATCCACCTGAGCGGTACTTTAACTTCACATGAATAAAAGTGCATTGGTGTATTAAATTAGATAAACCCGAAGTTACTAATTACAATGATCTAATATAAAAACAAATATCTTATATCATAAATCCAATATTAAAGCAGAAATGTCAATAATTCTCCTGACCTGTACTTTATCAACAGAAACTAAACCTGTTTGAGGCAGTTTCTCCAGAATAAAAGTAAGTGAGGAAATGAATGATCTTCTCTGAAAAACTATTAAAGTTCCTTGATAAGCAGTGAAAGTTTGATTTGTTGAATTTCTTTAATAAAATACATATTTTTGGGTGTATTTCTCCTCGACAGGGCAGCTTGAGAGATGGACAGGAGAGGGGAGGACATATAGTAAAAGGTCTACAGGTCAGACTCAAGATCTTAACCTTGGTACCTGAGGTCCTACCGGGTTAGATACTAGAGACACCAAAATAAATGTATTTAAAATAAAACCAAACTGTGAATGAGAATACTGACATTACATTGCTGAAATGTTTTGTGTTAATATAATTCTCCACCTAATAGATATCATCTCATCATTTATTTATTCATTATGTAAACAGTTTAAAGTTACAGTAACAGATATTTCTGTAAATGTGCCAGTTTAACCGTCCTGACTCATTTTCATCTGCAGTCTCTGGACAGATGTAATGTCAGACACAAAGGACACTCCATACAAACACATAAACCATTAAAAACAAGGACAACAATACACAAAACATACAACAAAGCACATAAACAACAACAATGTTATCTGGATAAGTTAGAAGTTATGGAGTAATTGTCCTTTAATCAGGATTTTAAGTTGATTTTAAATCCCTGATGTGTGTTACAGTCTCTGAAGTGTCTGAACTTTACGTTTATTTACCTTGTACACTTTATTTAACTAATGTATGATTACAGTCTGTCCGCTGGCATTGTCTGTTTATTTACTGTCAATGTTTACGTTTGTAAATAAACTTTATTTTTAAAGAACCTGAAGAGGAAGCAAGGTTCACTTCCGGGAGAGGTCGGTGAGGAAAAGTTTTCCAAGCAGCCATCATCACAACATCGATAGTTAACGTTAGTTTTTAGTCCCTCAGCTTTAATTCAGGAGGACAACTAATGAGAATGAAGCAAACAGCTCTGAAGGATGTATGTGTCTGTCTGCTGATATCAGCTGGAATAATATTTGGACATGAAACCGGTAAGAAAGTCAAACACTATATTCACTTAGTGTTAGTTAATGTGAGCTACTGAGAGCTTACAGTTACTGATTAGTCCACTGCAACAACTCACCCTCAAATAAAGATTCAATACACAATCATAACAACAATAACATGAAAACAACTTTATAATACTTATTCAAACACGTTTATAACTGTTAGAGAGCATATTAATAGAATTAGGTCGGACCTTAAAGAATAAAAGCACACAGCCAATAAACAATTTATTTATTTATTATTGCTTAAAGTTAAACTAACAGTAGTATGTGAAGTGTGTGTGTGTGTGTGTGTGTGTGTGTGTGTGTGTGTGTGTGTGTGTGTGATCAGCTGGTTGTAGAGAGAACAGGTACTGAGCTGAGTCTTTACCCTACAACACACTCATTATCAACGCTGGTTCAGCAGCCACATGTTGTTGTTGTTGTTGTTGTTGTTGTGACGCACTGTTAAATTCATTTAATAAAGAGTGCATCTCCATTCTCAACCAAAGTGCAGTTTAAAACTAGGAAACAGAAACCTGATAGACTTCCCTGGTAGAATGAGCACATAGTAACCTTAAAAACCAAATGTTAATTTATTGTTGTTGTTATGAGCCTATTTCTCTGAATTAATATCCAGAAACAAGCACAATCCTAAAGCTGTCTTTAGGGTAATTGGCTCTGTTATCAGCGGTCCCTCTACTTCTTGTTCTGATCCAGAGAAACAAATACATACACGTGGAAAGTGTGTTTATGCCACTTTCCACGCAGGTTTCCAAATGTATAAAAGGTGGTGAAAATGTGCATGCTGTTACACATCTTTAACATCACGTAGTCCTTGGAGTCATAGTCGCCAAATAAGTGACATTTTATTTAGAGCTGTATTCTTTCAGTGCACTGTGTTAGGATACAAGCTGCAGTTTAAAAACTCCACTAACATAGGGATGTGTGTTATTAAGGACCTTTTTTGACTGGCCTTGATTTCTTTCTATCAAGTGTGTTTGTCACTGCATTATAATAACTATGATGTTCATCTTTATATAAATAATGAATAAGAATAATTTATACCTTCAGGTGTGAGTGACCAATTGACAGGTTGTTAAAGTGCCACTATATTAGGGGTTGTAGACGTTCATACCAGAGTTTAGGGATCCAAATAACACGTTTTACCTCCAGTTCACATTCTGTAAAACTGAGCTTCTTCTTATTCAGTTGCTTTTTCCCTCCTTCTGCCATTTCTCCTCTAAACTCCTCTAAATGCTGAGCCTTCATATGTAAATCAGGCAGTTGGGTCCTTTTTAAGCCATTTATAGTAAATGGTGGGAATGGTCAGAAGGCTCGTGCAGGTTTCAGGATGATAGAGATGTATGAGGAAAAACACGCAGGAACAGACGTAGGTTTAGAAATCTGAACTAAAGACTGCATGTTTCCTGTTTTGTGTTAACACAGATTTCTACACCTAAATATACGAGAGTTTAATGCAGCTGGCCCCAGATGTTGAGCAATCTGAAGAGTTCATTGGTCATTCTGTGAATAAGGTGGAGAATATGAGGTCCAGTCTGACCCTTCTCCATCCTCCCAATGTACTCTAACACATTCAGTTGTAGAGAGTACAGTGTCCCGCATGAGCTCCTCCTCTTGCACCTTGGGTATCATGGATGGATGTGCTCTCAAAACTGAGCTTCTGTTTCTAACAATATATCAAAACAATGGAGAAAAACTGAGCTGAATATTTACTCATTTCTGCATCAATCTGTTATCATATCTATTAGATTGATCATTTATATTTAATGATTGCTCTCTATTAAAACTAATGATTGAAACATGTTTCATCTTTCAGGTCCAGCTGTGGTCAGAGTGGTTGTGGAAGTCGGCAGTGATGTTGTTCTACCCTGTTCTCTCAGCTCCAAGGAGAACATTGTAGATAAACTGTTTGACTGGAGGAAAGATGGTCAGAGGAAGAAGGAGGTGTTCTATTATAATGCAGGCATTCATTACAATAATGGCTATGATGGTCAAGATCAGCAGTTCAAAGGTCGAGTTTCATATTTTTCTGATCAACTGAAGAACGGTAACGCCTCCATAAAGATCAGTAATACGCAGCTGGCTGACAGTGGAAACTACACCTGTGAGTTTCCTCGTCTTCAACCAAGTCAGATCTTCTACATTGAGCTTGTTGTTGGTGAGTTTCTGATGTATCTTGTCATCCGTCTCATTACTAAATGGTTCAAACATGCAGCTCCCTTATTAAATTTGTGTGAATTATGTCATTTTCCCCACTACATTTTAGTACATTAATATGCCAGCGACATATACAGTCATGGACTTTTCCCGAAAATGCACCATTTCTCCCAGAAAAGTGTTGCAATTACAAATGTTTAGGTATACACATGTTTATTTCCTTTTAAGTGCATTGGGACAACACAAAAAAGCAGAAGATTTGGTCGGACAAAATCATTGGCACCCTCAACCTAATATTTGGTTGCACACCCTTTGGAGAAAATAACTGAAACCAATCGCTTCCTATAACCATCAACAAGTTTCCTACACCTCTCAACTGGAATTTTGGACCACTTTTCATTCTGTTTTCTGTAAACAGTAGAATGACGTGCTTTGCTAAAAAGCTCTACCTTAGTCTGATTTGTCCACAAAACATTCTCCCAGAAGGATTGGGGCTTACTCAGGTATGTTCTTGCAAACTGCAGTCTGGCTTTTTTGCCTCTGTGTCAGAAGTGGGGTTCTCCTCGGTCTCCTGCCATAGCGCTTCATCTCATTCAGATGACGACGTATGGTTTGAGCTGACACCGTTGCACCCTGAGTCTGCAGCTTGAATTTGTGTGGAAGTTGACTGAGGTTGTTAATCCACCATTTGATCCACTTCTTGATTATATTGCGCACAGTTGACAAAGGAACATTAAGATTGACTTGTAACCTTGAGATTGTTGATATTTTTCCACCATTTTGCTTCTTAAGTCCTCAGACAATTCTTGGCTCTTCTTTCTCTTCTCCATGGTTGGTGTGGCACACACAGGCACACAACACAAAGGTTGAGTCAACTTTTATACACTCTAACTGGCTTCAGTTTCGATTTCTATATATTGCCAGCACCTGTTACTTGTCACCACAGGTGAGTTTAAACGAAGATCACTTGCTTGAAATTAAATTATTTACCCACAGTTTTAACAGGGTGCCAATGATTTTGTCCAGTCGATTTTTGGAGTTTTGTGTAAAAGGATTTTTTCTTCTGCTTTTTTGTGTTGTCCCAATGCACTTAAAGGAAATAAACATGTGTATACCAAAACATTTGTAATTGCAACACTTTTCTGGGAGAAATGGTGCATTTTCTGGAAAAAAGTTCCAGGGGGGCCAATACTTTCGTCCATGACTGTACGTTCATAATATCACTCACTGTAATTAATGTTCTTATTGTGTTTCAGAGCTTACCATTAAAGACCGATCAGGAGAAATCACAGGTGAGTGATGATGTCTCACTGATATCTATATCTGTAACCCTGTTAGATACCCAGCTTATGAGTACTTAGTGACATCATCAGCATGATTTCTCCTGATCTGTCTTTTAAGGTAGGACTCTGTGGGTCACTATCTAAAGGGCCCCTCAGCCTTAATGGAGAGCAAAGTTGTCCTTAACAAGCTTTTCTTTATATTGTGTTCACAGGAGCTCCAAAGCCGTACACCTGGACACTTAGTGCCACAGAGTATTGGGCTCTGCTGCAGTGTGAGGTTCGAGGTGCTTCTCCTGAACCTAAAGTAGAGTGGAAGGACAGAGCTGGAAACATCCTTCCTGCTGAGGAGCCACAGGTCTCAGACAGAGGAGGAAGCTACGATGTTACCCTCCTCACCACTGTGACCAAGACCGACCACTACCTCTGTGTAGTCACACAGGAGGAAATCCACCATCAGACTCATTCTGAGACCTACGTGTTCATCAATGGTGAGATTTCTTTCAAATCATTTTCATTGTTCATGAGTTTATTAGTTTTAAAATATTTTTAGACTCCTTTAATTGTTGTTGTGTGTAGTCTATGAGCAGTGTGCTGTACATGATCTGCAGTTACAGTTTGAGTGTTACATTAACTTTTTGTGATGTGTTTCAGAGAAACTGCGCAAGGAATCATCCAGGAAAGAGCTCATTGGATGGTTGGGTGGATTGTTTTTGGGAGCTTCAATTGTCCTGGCTTTGCTTGGAGCCAGAAAGTGCATGAAAAGATGTCGCAATAAAGGTAAGATTATCAAAATATCCATAATGTGCAGACATTTATTTTTCTTCTCAGATAGGTTCCTATGGAGCGCTAAGGGGAGCATATGATAGTAAATTATTTACATGAGGCCTCTGGTTCTAATATTGAATGATTCAATTAAACATGAAGCAAACAGGGCACCCGGATGCCTCTCTGTTAAAGCTGGTCCCTCATGTACCAAGGCTTAGTCCTTGCTGCAGCGGCCCAGGGTTCAAATCCAACGTGTGGCCCTTTGCTGCGTGTCATCCCCCTTTCTCCTGTCACTCTCCATTAAAAAGTAATAAAAGCTGTTGTAATGTATAACAACCACATTGACAATGCAAAAGCTGGTGTAAACACTGTGAAGTTACATAGTAAATATGAACAATAGGAATGGAGTTCAAATCTGATCATAGAAGATTGATGCCCTAATTAATATACATCTTCACATCACAATTTCATTTGGAGATTTGAACAAATATCAATATGGAGAGCAGGCAGGATATTATTGAATGAAGACAATGGATTTTATTTAGTTCTTGCAGTGACTGAATATATTTAATGTAGAGTTTGTGGTTCAACATCAGCTTCAAGGTGAAGCTGGGTTCATATTCGTGCTTGTTTTATGTCGTCTGGTTTGTGAGCAAAATACTGTATTTCCAGATGGTAGAACTTGTTTTATTTCTGCTTAAAGTTTATTCTGCTCTGAGGATTTCTCTCCGTTCATCAGCTGCTTTATCTGTTCTTACCAGAGGTTGGACTCCTAAACTACCAAGTGATCATTCTGATTGACAGCTCAGTGCTTCAAGTACTTCTTGCTTATTTATATGGCTGACATTAGTGGATTAAGTGATATTTGATATAACATTAAACCAGCAGCCATATTTATAATGAATGAATTTATTCATTTATTGATTTAAAAAGACCAAACATGCTTCCTATGGAGCCCTCAGAGGAGCATATGATGGTAAACATATTGGCATGTGCATAAAGATTGCTAAACTGAGCAAAACCATATTATTGAACTATTTTATGATCTTTTATAGTTTGAGAACATAAAGTTTAAAGTCACTCATTCATTTACAGGTGTATCTCAATAAATTAGAATATCATGGAAAGGTTCATTGGTCTCAGGGTAACACTGAGCATCGAGAGTCATCTGTAAAACAAAGGAATTCATCAGCTGACTAAAAACAGCTTTTGAATCTCCACTGTGTACAGTTTGCAGACTTTTGGCAAACAGATTCTTCTCTGTAATATAAAAGTTAACTTTATGTAATATATACTTTTTTCTTCTCTGCAGGTTCTCATCAGCAGAGCAACGGTGCTTCTAAAGCTCCTTCTAACGGTTCTTCTGACGGTTCTTCACAGCCACTTAAGTCACCACCTGTTTGATAGGTTCATGTTATGGAGGGGTGTGTGCTGTACAGTGTACATGTGCAATCTACAACCACTTTGTCTTCCTACCCTTCAATACTCTGCAGTAATCAGATGGAGTTGATGAGTTGCACCTCGACCGTGAATACCACCACAGTAACTGTTTGTAAACCAATTTGACCATGGCTCATGTTGGAGCAGGAATTGGACGTGAAATCAGGGGAAATGAACAAAATCAATCAAGATTACAGGTTTCTGTGACGTTTTCCTCAGGTAAATTCTGCCAAAGTGTTTTATATCTGTGCCACTTAATGTTAGGTTAGTGTTGATACCTACACTCTCTACGGTCTTAGATATATTTCAACGTAAGGCAGCTCAAACAACAAAGAGCATTTTTATTACAGGGCTTTTGTATGAATGAATTGTATTGTCCTGTATTTCCTCTCACACTGTTGTCCATGAAGACTCAAAATGTAACTTTATGCTGGACTGTTACATGTATTATAGCACATAAATGAATGAGGTGAAGCAACAGACAACTCAACAAAACAGGAAAACACTTGTGATAAATAATGAGGGGACATAACTGATAAAACTAAAGAGACATAGAGATCATATTGTATGACATTAAATCCACTTTTTTTTTTTTTTTAAAGGTTTCAGAACAAAAAGGTCAGGTTCACTAAACAGATATTTATTGATGACACTGTAACAGAGCAGAGAGATAGTGGGTTGATTCGTCAGAACAACAGATTCCTGAATCTATGATGTGTGTATACAAAGTAACTTGTAGCTTAAACATGCTGTGCCTTAAAACAAGAGACAAAACTTAAATACAACCAAAAGGAAGCTTGTGAAGTGAAGCAGTAATGGTTGATATCATGGATGTTGAGCACTAATAGTCTGAATAAGCTTGTGAGAAGAGACTCTGAATGTAGACGACTGTCAGAGTCCAGATGAGAAGAGATGGACACAAAAGACTATTCTCAGATCTGAGATTGTAATAAACATTAATGCAGATCAGATTCCTAACTGAAGGAAAAAGGGAAAAGATTGTAAAGAGAAGGTAGAGTTAAACTCACTGGTTTTAATTCTTAAAAAAGGTCTATTGACATGGGAGGTCCAGCTGAACTTGCCTGTAAATATTTTATAGTATATATTGTCAGCTATCTTCTGTGTTGCTTCAATGTGCCTTGTTGTGTTTGTCCACTGTAATATACTCTGACTGAATGTGTATTATTGATGCTGACTGCCATTACAGATAGTGAGCATACACACTGCATTATAGAAGATGGTGTGTGTTTACTATTAGTTATTTGTACTGAAGTTTCATGTTTTTATTCAGGTGCCATACTGAAATATAGTTTGACCAAACCAGCTGTGCTTTCACAAAGTTTTCAATGTTTCCAAGGTGTCTCTCTCATATTGGTGCTTTGTTAAATTTCCTAAGCAATAGTGAGGCATTACAATCATCATGACTGACACTACGATTGTGTAAATAAACTTTTTGAATAAACCTTCCTGATGGATGACTGGATGCTTTTATTTTGAAGTGATTATTGATCTG